CTTGCAAAGAGATGGAGTAACTGCTTCAGCTACTTACTATCTACTAAGTGTTTCCCTTACTACGTGCCTGGCACTGCACTCTCTGTCCATGAGCTTGTTTGAGATGAGGCCCAGAGAGGCAAAGTGACTTGCCGAAGGCCACACAGCTATCAAGAGACAGTCAAGATTTGGACGCAGGTCAGTTCAGCACCTGAATACCTCCTTTGGGCCCTCTCCCAAGCTCGTTTGCTAGGATCCCTGGGCCCTGGAAGAGGTTCTAGTTTTCTTTTTAGAGCTCTTCACTGGGAGTTGGGGAGATTCTTTGATGATTTGGTGGCTGAGCTTGAGCTTCCCCACTCTTCTTGAAGACCTCAGAGGTTTGCAGAGGCCCAGAACTTCATCATATGAACCCTGTCAGAGAAGCTGATACAGAGGAAGCTGGAGTGATTCTCAGGGGGAGGGAAGAATCTGAGGATCATGGAGAGCCTCAGTGTGAGCATTACTTTGGACTTTGGTCCTAAGACAGTAGGGAGCCAGATAAGGTTTTTGAGCAGTGGCATGGCATGGTTATATCTACATATCAGGAAATAACTTTGGTAACAGTGCAAGCACCTGTTAGAGCAAGGAGAGCTACGTAGAGGGTGGTATGGGAGTCTGGGCTGTGCTTGGTAGTGGCTGTCAGGCCAGGGGCTGTTGGGGTAGAGAGGATTGGTCGGGTATCCAGCTAGACGGTAAAGCCTAGAGTGTTGACGTTAGGAGGCTTGACTAGCAGATGGTTCTTGGAGCCACACCGGGGGCCCCAGGGCCATTTCCACAGTGACTTCTCTGGAGCTTTGTTTCTGCCATTCCACCACCTTGGAGCCAACATATTTCCCACCAGGGCCCCTTTCCTACTGTTCTCTCCCATACTGGATTGCCCTAAATCAGCAGAGGGCATGCCGAGGTGGGAGGAAGTTCCAGTTCCCTCAGCCTTAGCTACTATTTGGTATTCTGAACTGGTCTGTGCTGGAAAAAAAGATGTCGGATGTGCCAGGAAAAGAGGAGGCGGCTATCTTTTTAGATAGCTGGGTCTTCCTGCCAGGTGAATATTTACAAACACAGCCACCCACCTGGCAACACCAGCACCACTGATTCCCTTGAGTGCTATCCACAATCCCCTTGCATCTGACACACACACACACACACACACACACACACACACACACACACACATCTCTGCTGTAGCCAAGAGAGTCTCTTGGGGTATGGAAGGAGGCAGTCACGGCTGGGACCCTAGAGACCACCAAGCCCTACCCTAGGTCAACAGAGAGGTATGGAGGTCAGAGGAGGCCCAGGCCCTGTGAAATAATGAGATGAGACCAGACTCTAAGGCCTAGGCTGTGCCCTCCCCATGCCAAAGTCTTGGTGGCTTGGGCTGGCTCTGAGGCCCATGTCCTCAGGGGACCTGGACTCGTAGCACTGCCCTGCAGTGGCTCCCAGGTATGAAGGGAACCTCAGGGTAAATGCAAGCAGTTCTGACTGTCTGAGAAGGGCCGTGAGCCTGAAAGAATGAGACCCTTTAGTTGTTCCCCATCAGGAGGGGCACAGGCCCAGCCTCAAGGCCAGAGGAGCTGCCACTGCTGCAATAACCTCCTTTGGGGTGGGCACCTAAGTAGAAGTTATGAGGAGGAGTGGGCAGCCAAGCCCTTTGTGCACTGCCCTCCATCACCCCAAGTAGGAGGAGAAGGACTCAGCCAGGAGAAATGGTAGGTTCTTAATGTGAGGCCAGGAGGAAGCCCACTCATGTGCATGGTGAATACAAGCAAATGACTGGCCTGACTGGCTGGTCCCCTCATACAGGCTCTGGTGGCCCTGCACTTCCCCCACCCCCTGAATCTGGGCCTGGATTCTTCCAAGCAGCGGGAGCTGGTTATCTGTGGGTTCAGTGCCAATGCAAAGGAAAGGATGGATTGTGGGAATGGGTCCAGTGTTGCAGGGGCTGGGGTGGCCATACCACACGAGGGCCTGGCATTGAGACTTGAGTCCAGGCTGTACTTGTTTACTGTGTGCCTCGCTTACTGAACAAGGTGGCTTCTGCAGTGGAGTCTCTATGGTCCCACCTGAGGGAGTACCTGCGGCTGTTGTGAGGGTCAAACAATGCACTGTGTAAGAAAGGGCTCCCCAGGCATCAGGAATTCGTGAAGTTTAGGCCAAGTTCCCCTTTTCCTCCCACTGAGGACCATGATAATGTGACTACTGAAAGCTCAACATGTCCAAGAGGCCAGCCTCACAGACTTGCAGCACTGATCTTTGTACGAGATTCTGTGGGCTCAGTGCTTTATTTTCTGCACAGAATATTCTGTTCCCTAAGTGTCCCATGTGCTCATTCAACTCCAGCCTTTGTATATTTGCTTTCCTCTGCCGGGCCACCCTTTTGTCTTTATCTTTCATTATCAGCATCAATATCACTTCCTGCCAGAAGCCTGCCCTGGCTCCCTTGTACCTGAGTCAGGCAGCTTTTCTGGCTCCCCATGTCTGATCACAGCACTGTCCATTTCCTCATGTGTCCTCCCCATGGGGAGGACAGGCCCAACTATGAGCTAGATGAGAACAGGGACTGTGTGAGGGTCTGCCAGATGGGTGGAAAGACAGATGGATGACTTGGCTAATCTGGGCTGTGCTCTATAAAAACTCTAGCTTTACACTGAATGCTACAATATGCAAAGCTTAGAGTCTGTGAGCAACTGCCAAGGACCAGGGACTGGTGGTAATGAGGTATCCTTCCAGGGTTCCCTTTACAACTTTTAGGGTATACAGCTGAGCCCTCATGCTAGGCATGAGTTTCTTGATCCTTGGCTCCTCAGATTGAGTCAGTTCAGCTCCTTTAAAAAAAAAAAGTCAATCAGCTCAGAGCCTACCCTAAGAGTTGGTGAGCATGTCTGGATTTTCTACTAAGTAGTGAGTCATTTGTCTGATAGGCCTGGTTGTGATTTTATCTTCCCATCTGCAGCTTAGGGAAGTAAATGTCCCAAGGAGGCCAGCTGGCCACCTACCCTGAGTTCTCTCCAGAGTGATTTTCCCTGGTGAATCCACTGTGGCCCCTAGCTTGGCCTCTGCTTTATTATGCAGAAGCTTAATTGGTTAGATATGCTAGGAGTGGGTTGTTCCTCCAGGATGGCCTCATAACTGACCCAGCTCAAGGAAGCTGCTGCTAAAACTGGATTTCCAGCTCAGGAGCTCAGTGAGAATGCTGCACTTAGCTGGAGGCTCACCCAGATCCTGTGGGTGGCTGATGAATGTTCCAGGACTCAGCCTGCTATGCCATCTGCAGAGCATAAACTTGTTCTGTGAGACCACAGTGCCCAGACCCAATCGCCTCTGCCCGGTGCTTGGACCAGGTTTGCCCTGACCCCTTTTTATGTGTCCTGGTCTGAGCAGTCCTCTTGGTCTGGCAAGCACATTCCTTAGTCACCTCTTCAGTCTTCTGAGTATGCCAGATGCAGTGCAAGGGGCTTTATATGTGTGAATTACACTGCCCTCATTTTAAAGATGGGGAGGGAAGTGGAAATTCAGAGAGGAAGGATAGGCTTTACTTTGTATGGCGCGTAGTGAAGGAGAAGGGATTTTAACTGAGGGGTTTTTTTTCTCTGTCTCTTCAATGACTTTGCACATCACTGACTTCATCTCTGGTGTCTGTGATGTTATGGTTTGTCAGAAATGCCATTTATTGGGATTTCAGCAGATCTCTCCTCCCTCAGGGGTCAAGCAATTGTTTGGCTCATATCCCATGGCTGCCGAGTAGCTGCTATTACATTCTCCTTGTTTCCCTTCTTGGAAGCACAGCCATGCTTCCAGAGGCCAAGGGCCTGTGAGGAGGGTGCCTGTGGATGGTGCAGGGCAGCCTCGAGCCCACCCTGCCATCACTGGGCTGGCAGACCTGTAGGTACCTCTAGCCTTAGGTCCTACTAGGCAGTGACACATGAGGGGGTCCCAGTTTGGATGCCAGCACCCATCACCTGGCCCACCCTTGATACTTTCCTCAGTTTCGGACAAGATGCAGACCCCTGAGCCAAGCTGGCTGTGTATTTGCTCTGCCAACACTTCCTCACTTAGTGACCGAGAGGACGATGCAGGAGGCCCCTGGAGCCTGCTTCTCTTTCAACCAGTCAATTCACCAGTGCTTCTCACAAAGACCTTCCCTCTGTCTACCCAGGGCATCTACCATGTCTCCCTGATAGGCCCACTGTACTCACTTGGGCTGTAGTGGGTGGGGTGGCTGCCATCTGTGACATGGCAGGAGGTATTGGTCCCCTTGGGAGTGCACATAGAGGACTCCACCGAGCCATTTCTCTCTGAGCCGTGGTTTCTTTCTCTTCCTACCAGTTTAACACCTGCTCTCCTCTGCCACCTGCCTTGCTTCTGAACACTTGCTCATGGGATCAGGGAGTTATGGTGGGGCCAGCTGTCCTCATGGTACTCGGTCAGGGACAGTGCAGAGCCATAGTGCTCATACAGTCAGATAGGGCTTCACCTTCACATCATGAGGGCTGGAGTATCTGTCAGGGCTGGTCTGTGGGCTCTGCCCTTCCCTTCTCTCTCCCTCAGGGTCAGGGCCTGGGGTTGGGAGATTAGAGGTAGAGTGGGAGGAGCCTGCATTCCTCCACCCCTGAGCACTGTGCTGAGCACTTCTGCTGCCCTTCCCTCTTCTCCACACCCCAGGAGCAAAGATAAGTAAAATACTACGATAGCAGTCACACAGGAGAACAGAGCACCCAGGCCCTGAGGTCCAGGAGGCGTCATTCCCAGAGCTACCAGAGCAGTAGCCCTGGAAAATATGGAAGGAGCTGTCAACCGTGGCCCAGGGCCTGAGCATGTGGTTCTCAGGAAAACTGGGCAGGATGTCTGACTGTCAGGTGTGACCGCAGAAGGCTTAGGCCTCTTCCTGGGAAAAGCCCTTCTAGGTAGCCAGATATCAAGTCCCAGGAACCCTTCCTTACCTGCCCTTTAGGTCTCTTGCCTCATCTGCCTCTTGTTTTCAACAGAGTTTGTCCTCTCACTTCTGGAGAAGATGCAGACACAGGAGATCCTGAGGATTCTGCGGCTGCCTGAGCTAGGCGACTTGGGCCAGTTTTTCCGCAGCCTCTCGGCCACCACCCTTGTGAGTATGGGTGCCCTGGCCGCCATCCTCGCCTACTGGTTCACTCACCGGCCAAAGGCTTTGCAGCCACCATGCAACCTCCTGATGCAGTCAGAAGAAGTAGAGGTAAGTAGGGTAGGAGCCATTCTGCTATGGAAAGTAGGGGCAGAGGACAGGTATCTTGGAAGTAGAAGCCAGACTTGCGGCTTCTTTGACCTTACATGGCCCAGAGAAGCTCTATCTCCCCTGGCAGTCAGCCACCTAGCTCTGCCGAAGTCTTGGGCAGGGTCTCCTATCAGGCACTCCTTCTGCCTGTCCCAGGAACTGCCTCTGGGCAGAGCCTGACCTGGGCCTTGCACTGGGCCTTTGTTTTGCCTGCTTCCCCGGGTAGAAGGCCTTGGCTCATTGGTGTTGCAGTAGGAAACCTAAGCAGGTTCTTGAGGAGCCACCTGGTAGATTTCCTTCCAAACGCTCCTGGTCTGGTGTTGGGATCCAGAATTCAGCCCACTCCCTGGCCCTGCTCTCCCTGAGCATGTGGATTCACACATGGTGCCACCAAGGGGAAGGTGATACAGGGTTTAGTATACAGGGGTGTTCTAGGCTAAGCCTGGAAGGACTGGTGAGGTGTGTTTCCTTATTAAGCTTTTGGAATTTATTTTTGCCTTTTAAAAATTTGCTTTTTCTCCTCTTTATTTGGAATAGATAATGTATTCACATAGTCCAAAAGAAACAAAAGGAATGTGCTGAAAAGCTTCTGTCTTCTTGCCTGCTCTCCCGGTTCTCTTCCCTTGAGGCAACCTGCTAATGCCCCGTCCTGGCCATGAGCAGATGTGTAGAGATGCTCCCCACCTCTAACTCATACCTACCACATACCCTGTTGTGCATCTTGCCGTTTGCTCTTGACAGCGCACCTTGGCGATCATAAGCAAAACAGCCCTATAGGAAAGGTAGGGGCTGGGATCTTGAGGGCATTTTTCCAGCAGAATTGTATGTACAAAGGTGCAGGTGTGTGCTGCAGCACATGGGGGCTTTGTGTGGGGAGCTGGGCAGTAGAGAGGGGCTGGCCAAGTGCTGCTGAAAATGGCCTTTGGTGAATGGCAGGCTTGGATTTGAAGCCTAGCTGTGCCTCTGTGTTGTATGGTCCCAGGCAGTTTCTTAACTCTCTGAGCCTCAGGGCCCTCAGCTGTAAAGTGGGTAATAAAAAGAGCACCTGCTTTCTAAGATGTAGTGCCATGACCCAGATAAGTCACTAAGGATGGTTGTTTTTGGGTTAAGCTTGTGATTATAATGCATCTGGAGAGGTCAGCAAGGACAGAGCCCTGTGAACTGTGCAGGGACCTGCAGGGGGAACAGTATGGAGCTATTTGGGATTTTCAGTAGGGAGAGACATGGCCAGTTTATGCTGTAGAAGCGTGGGTATGGTGGGGCAAGCATAAGAAGGCAGCTTCAGGTATCTGAGTTGGAGGTGACAGTGGTCTGGATGGTCTCAGAATGGTGAGAGGGATGACCCTGGCTCATGTGCAGGGGCCACTGAGTGAGTCACATTGCTGAACTAGATGACAGGGACATGGATTGAAGCTAATCCCTCCCTTCCTGGAATGACTGAGCCTTCCCTTGCCTCATCCCCCAGGAGCTCAGAAAGCCAAAGTGACTGCAGTGGAGTAGACAAAGGAGACAGTGGTAGGAAATGAGGTGGGAGAGGTAAGAGGGGCCCAGATCAGACAAGACCTGGCAGCATTGACTGTGCATACTGTGTGGTGAGAAACAATTCACACCATGTCACTCCCCCTAGCCTAAAACCCTCTCCTGGCTCCCCATTACCCTCAGCCTTAAGTCCAGATTCTTTGCCTTGATCTGCAGCCTCTCTGGCCTCCTCCCACACCACTGCCACCTGGAGCTCCATGAACTGCCTATAATTCCCCAAACACACCTGTGCCTCCTGCCAGGGCGTTTACATGTGCTGCTGCCTATGCCCAGGTTGCTGCTCCCGCCTTCTCACTCTGCCTGGCAACCCCCATGCATCCTTCGAATCCCAGTTTGGCTGCTGCTCGGTAACACACGTGCCCAGTTGTTGAGCCTCTGCTGTCTCTGGCAGACAGTCTCTCCTTGTACCGTATCTGTTGCCTAGGTGCCAACTGGGTCTGATTAGATGTGTCCCAGCTTCTCTTGCAGGTCTTCGGTGGGCTTGGTCCTCAAAAGCAGTGGCCAAGCAGAGCTTTCCACTCCAAAACAGTTGAGAGCTGCCTGTGGTTTTGAGTTTGGTTGTTTGCTTTCTGGTTCTCACAGACATTTTTTCCTTAGACCTGATGTTCCAAGAGGTGGCAGGCTCTGGGCCAACCCAGCTCAAATAGTGCTCGAAGAAGAGGTGGAGCTATAATAACTGGAGAGTCTGGGTTTGGGCACTGTGGGGAAGGGTGGCAGGGTGGAAGGGGAGGGGGCAGGAGAAGCCTGGCTCCTCGCCCTGCTCACCAGCACAGAGGAGGTCTGCCGCCTTCCTACTCTGCACCTGCACCACTTTGGGCCCAGGAATTTCCTGCCTGCCTCTCCTCCCCCATTGCACGTGGACATCATTCAACCTGTCCTCCCTCCCTAACCTCCTAGGCCTCTGTGCCTGGGACAGAACCTTCAGCACAGTCCTCTAACTCAAATTATTATATGAATGATGGGTGGTAGCCTTCTTAGCTAACACCACACCCAAATGATCCTTAACCCGGGGCATAGCAGCAGGTGATGGGATAGGGGATACCTTTGTAGGTTGTTCCTAATGCCAAGGGATTGCCTGAACTTAGCCCATACTCCTCACAGTGTTGCATGAGTGAGCCACAGGTGTGTATGAACAGTAACTGAAAACTTGGGACATTATGTATATGCTGACCTGGTGTGTGAATGCTGTGTGTGTGTGTGTGTGTGTGTGTGTGTGTGTGTATGGTTTGTATGTGGGGACACTGGTATACCCGGCCTACATGCATGAGCCAACTATGTTGAAGTGTGGCTATGTGCAGGTTGAGTGTGTACAGTCCAGGTGTGTGTAGTCCATGTGTATGAGGGCACACAAAACATGCTACAGTGCTAACTGTGTGCACGGGTTGTACATGCGAGCTGTGTATAGCTTTGTGCATGCTGGGGCCCTCTCCTGGCTCCCCTACTTGCCTCAGCCAACTTCTCTGGCCCATGCTTGGCTTCTAGGACAGTGGCGGGGCACGGCGATCTGTGATTGGGTCTGGCCCTCAGCTACTTACCCACTACTATGATGATGCTCGGACCATGTACCAGGTGTTCCGCCGTGGGCTTAGCATCTCAGGTAAGAAGGGATATGGGGGTGTGGAGGGGCTGTGTGGCATGGGTTGAGTGGGTGCGAGGGTGGGTATGCAAACATGATACCAGGGACATAGCAGGTGAGCTGTCCCCAGGTTCAGTGGAGAGAAGCTACTCCTGGCCTTCCTCCCACCAGTCAGAGAAGCAGCATTATATGGCCAAAGGTCTGACTGGGTCAGCTTTGTTCTACCCCTTGGGGCAGCTTGATGTTAGGCCATCTTTTGGCCCATGCTCTTGGTGAGTCTTGAGCTGCCAGGCCACTGGCTGGCATGGTTCCAAACCTGAACCTCTGAGATGTCTAGGTGCTCTCAGGGTAAGAGGCAAAGAGAGGCAGCCTACCACCTCCTCCCAGTGGCCCTCAGGTGTCTGTATCCTTTGGGTCTGCAATAAAGATCACCACACAAGTTGTGGTGGGGACTGGGCACTGCATCCTTCCCCATTTCCAGACCTCCCTGATCCCTGAGGTGATGCCACACTTGTGTGCTTTAGGCCCTCCTGGGCTTCAGCAGATTAGGCAGGAAGCTGGCAGTGCAGGAGGGCAGTTCACTTGGCCCATGGACACACTACTGTATGGGATGTCCATCCAGGTTCCTGATGGGTGGATGCAGGTGGCACACCCACCTTGACCCCTCCCTGGCACAAGGCTTTCTTATCTTTCTGCAGGGAATGGGCCCTGTCTTGGTTTCAGGAAGCCCAAGCAGCCTTACCAGTGGCTGTCCTACCAGGAGGTGAGTGATAGAGGACAGACCCTACCGTGATAGGTCTGGCACTCAGGGCGGGTAGGGAGGGATGTGGGCCCCTGCTAGGTCTCAGAGGGTCATTTTTTATTTTCCTGGCCTGTCTGCCAAACTCCTGGCAACAGCCTTGAAACACTTCCAGCATCCTGGATTGGGAGTCAGGGAGGACCCGCAGACCTATAAGAATCCCAGCTGGGTGTGGTGGCTCATGCCTATAATCCCAGCACTTTGGGAGGCCAAGGCAAGTGGATTGCCTTAGCTCAAGAGTTTGAAACCAGCTTGGGCAATATGGTGAAACCCCCCATCTCTACCAAAGTACAAAAAAATTATCCGGGTGTGGCAGCATGTACCTGTAATCCAAGCTCCTCAGGGGGCTGAGACAGGAAAATTGCTTGAACCCAGGAGGTGGAGGTTGTAGTGAGCAGAGATCGCACCACTACACTCCAGCCTGGGCAACAGAGCAAGATTTTGTCTCAAAGAAAAAAATAAAATAAAATAATCCCTCCTGGGGATCTCCTTCCCCTGTTGAAGAGTCCTTGCTTTCCTATCACTTCCCCACATCTGTGTGCAGGTGGCCGACAGGGCTGAATTTCTGGGGTCCGGACTTCTCCAGCACAATTGTAAAGCATGCACAGATCAGTTTATTGGTGTTTTTGCACAAAATCGGCCAGAGGTGAGCATCTACCTTAACTGGTTTTAGAGGGATTAGTAAGGTAGGGGTGGGCTACCATGAAATAGTCCTGCTTCCACTGTTTGTAGGGCCCAGGACGAAAGAAAAAACAGAGACGCTTGGGCTATGCCATCCCCTCTCTTCCCAACCCCATTCTGCCCCTCATCAGTACTGACCACCCCAGCCAAGCTCTATCTACACCCCCACCCAGCTCTACAAACAGCTGCCCCTTGGGCCAATGGGAGATTAGAAGGCTATCCTGCCCTTAGGCCCAGGTGATCAGGGTCCCTGTCCTTAGGCCCAGGTGAACAGGGTCCCTGCTCTAAGCCCTATGCCTGTGGCAAGGACTCCACAGGCCATGGAACTGTGCTTGGGACAGTTTGGACTTGAAATCCAGAAGTTACAGAACTTCCTGGGACAGGCCTGATCCAGAAGGCTGTAGGTGAGCAGGTACAACCCATTAACTTGTGTGTCTCCATAGTGGATCATTGCGGAGCTGGCCTGCTACACATATTCCATGGTGGTGGTCCCACTCTATGACACCCTGGGCCCTGGGGCAATCCGCTACATCATCAATACAGGTAAGCCCACTGCCACCCCATCCAGCCACTGGCAGCTGGCCCCCAGCCTCCAGCTTCTCAGGTTATGCTGATTGTCTGACACTTGTAAGAGGCACTTTGCTCTCAGAAAATGCTAGGGGCTTACACTGTGGCCCCTGAGTTGGCTTCCTGAGTCAAGCTGTTCCCAGTCAGACTTCACCTGAAGGTGAGCCACAGGGCTCAGCTACCAAGAAGGAGCCTCTGCAGCAGCCTCCACACAGGGTACAACCTCTGAAGTTCATGACAGCTTGGCACAGATGCAGGGGGGTGGTAAATATCTCAAGACCTGGGATGATGGGGCAGAGCCTGGAGCAAAGGGGAGCATGGAATCTGCTTGAGAAGGTTCCCTGGCCTTCTGCCCTTGGTTCTGCCCAAGACCCATGGCACATTTATCTGTACACAAGGCCTGTCTTACGTATTTATTTACACACAAGTTGTGGGCACGCAGCCCATGGAATTGCTGCCTGGCACATGCTGCCTGCAGTCATGGCCTGGGCCCACATGGCCTGACTTTCCCTGATGGCCCCTGCAGCGGACATCAGCACTGTGATTGTGGACAAACCTCAGAAGGCTGTGCTTCTGCTAGAGCATGTGGAGAGGAAGGAGACTCCAGGCCTCAAGCTGATCATCCTCATGGATCCGTTCGAAGAAACCCTGAAAGAGAGAGGGCAGAAGTGCGGGGTGGTCATTAAGTCCATGCAGGCTGTGGAGGTGAGGGTCTGCTTCTGGGCTGTTTGCTAGGCCACTGCTGGCTGGTCACTGAGTCAGAACTTTGGTTATCTGTCCCTTTCATGTCCTAGGGTGGTGGTTTTGGGCCCTTAGGGTGTATCAGTGTCTAGATAGGGCAGGGTTTGCAAGGGCTGGTGGTGGTGGTGGGGTTGGTGCCCACAGGCATCCTCTAGGAAATAGGTGCTGTGGCTGGATAACTAGCCTCACTCTAGGTGCTGACTGGTGGACCGTGGTACCAGCTTACCCCAGAGGTACTCACATGGCCTCCGGAGCGTCCTCATTTTCAGCTAGCCCCAGCCTGTCTTTGTCTGAGGACTGCAGATATAAGTCCAGGAGTCTGGGAGAGGTTCTTGGAAATGTGATCTAAACCCCCAGCAGCCAAAAGTGATTTTTCTGTGTCTGGCCTCCCCAGAGACATCAGGTTGATGGCAGCTTGTGGTCCGCTGGGATGACGCAGGACATCCTGGCTGCCAAGGCCTCAGTAGCAGCTGATCCCCCACTATGCCCTACTGGATCTAGGCCCTGAGCCCTCCTTCTCCTCCTGCCTCCCTGCATGCTCCCCGCTGTACTGGTGATGTCTGTGCATTGTACCTTTCCCTGGCACTGGCAGCTGACCTACACTGGCAGCCCCCGCCTGCCCCGCCTGCACTGACTGCTCAGCCAGAAACCTAGTCCACCCAGCTGCTTCATCCTGAGCATGTGCCCAGCCATGCCAAGGGCACCTTAAGCCCAGCATGCTCACACCCGGAGTGCCATTGTACAGTTGGCATGCACACTATGCTTAGCCTCTCCCTGGGGTTCAGGCTCCCTGTCTTTAATATGTGGGGTGGCCTAGAACCTCTAGTCACCCTCCCTCTCTCCCAGGAGCCTCAGGCCTAGACGTCTGTCTGAGAAGAGGCCACTGAAGTCATGTCTGCCATGACCACCTCAGTGGCCTCTTTGGTATCTTAAATTCTGGGCTGGGTGCAGGAGTGAGGCCTACTGAGCTTTTTATTCTGGTGTGTGTGTGTGTGTGTGTGTGTGTGTGTGTGTGTGTGTGTGTGAGAGAGAGAGAGAGAGAGAGAGAGAGAGAAATTTTGAGCATTTAAAAATAGCATTTTCTTCTTTCAGGACTGTGGCCAAGAGAATCACCATGTTCCTGTGGTAAGCTAATCCACCTGCAGGTCTTTACTGAGCAAGATGATGTGCAGGGCTTGTCCTTAGAGTCCCTGACTGTGTACAGACCAGCACCTCTGTGTTAATAAGCAACTCCCGTGTGCAAGTCAGGAAATGCTCACTTGGGTGTCCAGGACTTCTGTGGGCTGAAGGCCCAGGGAAGGACCTGGAACAGGAGTCAGGTATTTGGGAGGGAGAGAAAAGAGCTGCCAATCCTAGCCACCCTTGATTCTTCAGGTAACTTCTTTGGGAAGTCTTATTTTCTCTCTATGAATATGGTGAACTCTTTAGAAGATGTGGTAGACAGAAGCAGTAATAGAACCAGAAATAGACTCTCAGGGCAAATGGCCTGTGGCATCTGCTGTCTTTGTTCATCTTTGCTTTGTGAACTTTTCTGTGCATCATTCCCATGTGATACTTTCTGGGGTTGAGCTACAGTGAGGACCACTGCCTCTGGGATGGGCCATGTGGGGGTTTTCAACTTTCTAAAAGGCATCTGACCTCCTGGCCCCCCTCCAGCTTAGTCCTTCCCTCTCCCTTCACACAGGCCTGCTCAGGTCACCGCCTGCTTCCCAGGGTGCTGCATGGGTAGCCCCTGGTGTTTGTCCACCTCCCACACATCAGGCCTCAGCCTTAGAGAACTGCTCTCCCATCCCTGAGCACCCTTTGTCTCTTGTGCCTCTGTGCCTGTGCCCAGGCTGGTTCTTCTCCCGAAAACACCCACCCTCACTTCATCTGGAGAAATCCTGCTTGCTCTTCCATCTCAACTCAACTGTCACCTCCTCTGGGAAGCCATCCTCTACTTGCAAGCAGACTTGGTGGGTTCCTCCAGGTGACCCCAGACTGTGTGCCCAGTGGCAGGGCAAGGGCTGGTGCAGAACAGCCTTGGTGACACAGTGGGCAGCTCAGTGTCCAAGCCACAAATGCTCCCAAGCCTAATCCCAGATACTTGGAAGAAAATGGGAAGGAAGTAGGGAGGGAACTGGGTCACATCCCCTAGAAAGGTCAGAGCTTTGATAGAGGCTGAGATGTGGCCACTGAAGCCCAATCTGACCTAGCAGAATTCAGCCCAGGCTTAATTTGGGGAGGCAGTGGGACCAGATGTGAGGTTGGTGGGACAGAGCAGTGTTCACACCCCAGTTAGGTTTCCTCAGCTTCTTTTTCTTTTTCCTGAGTCCTCTCCTGCCCACCTTCCTGAGCGCAGCATACAGGGGCATGCATGCATGCCCAATACATGCCCACACCCACATACAGCACACATAGGGGCCTGGCTGGAGGGAGAGACCAGGCATCTGGAGCCCTGGCTGGCCACACTGGGTCTCCCTAACACACTCCTCTTCTCACCCCTGCAGCCCCCGCAGCCTGATGACCTCTCCATTGTGTGTTTTACAAGTGGCACAACAGGTAAGCAGAGGCATGCAGATTTCCAGCCACGACTACCTGCACCCTTCCCTGGTGGCCTAGCAAGTGACTGCTGGAGTCTTTGATGCCCTGTTTGAAATGGGCTGAGCCTTGTCTGATGTCTGGCTCCAGACATTGGGTTTCTCCTGCACCTCCCAGTGCCCAGCATAGGAGTGGCCAGGTGCAGGTGGACAGTGTGAATTGGGAGATCCAGGATGAGGGCTTGGCACCACCCAGAGTTGAGTCAGGAGAGTCATGGGCAGCTGGATCATGTGCTGGGGTCATTTTTCTCACTGGGGTCATTTTTCTCTGGGAAACAGCTCTTACTCCCTTGCTTTCTGCCCCTGCCTGGCCTTTGTGTCGGGGACTGGGGAAAGAGTATGAGGTTTGGCGTCTGAGAGCCTCGGTTTGAGTCCCACCTCCACTGCTTGCTGGGGGACTGCCAGTCATTTAACTTCTCTGCCACCCGTGTCCCCAATTTCTCATCTGCCATGAGGATGGCCAAAGGTGCCAAGTGGGAGATGGGACAGTGTGTGAAAGGGCAGTGCAGATGCTCTGCAGGCTGGGGCTGGTGTCCTGTGAGCAAGGCTGTCAGGCAGAGGACACAAGCAGAAATTACACCCTCTGTGCTTGGAGTTGACAGAGGAGCACACATATCAGCAGTGACAGGAATAATCAAAGAAGACTTCCTAAAGGAGGCAGAATGCACAAGAGGACACAGCACAGGCACAAACCTCTGCATTTCTATAGCACATTGTCCACCTTCTCTCTGCACCACTGGGGCCTCAGCGCAGCCTATGAAGTGAGCAGGATTGTCACCAAGCCTGCTCCAAGGGGACATCACCAGCAAGTGGAAGCACCAGGATTTATGCCCTGCTCTTGTAATTCCAAGGCCAGTGCCCTTCCCAGTGCTGCCTTTTCATCTCATTTGATGACGTGAATGTGACTTGCCTTTCCCTGAATGGGCAGGAAGTCTCCAGCCTTCTTTTTCGAGGATTGGCCCATCTTGATGACAACTCTCGGTGGCAGTGAACTGGGGCTCTGCCTTACACAGATGCAGCCTCTAAAACATTTGGCAGACCTGTGACCAACCTTACAAGCAGGATTATTCATGTCAGCAGGTCATGATAAACAAGCTTTATTGAATAGAGATAGATTTTTACCATTAACTCACATGGGTTCAAGGACTTCCACTATACTAAACTCTGTCAGAAAAGTAACAACACAGCCCTTCCTCTCCAGAAGCTGACATCCAGAGCCAACCAAGAATTTAAAAATGCACCTTCGGGTTTATGTTGCTTTTTAAATAGCATTTTCCAGTGTCTTTTTGTCTTGAGGTTTTTGTTTGTTTTTTTAAGGCCATATATGCTCCTTATTGCAGGAACTAAATGCTGCTGCTATAGTGCTAAAGCAGGCAGAAAATAAGTAAACACAAGGGTGGGTGTCTTGAGTTTTACCATGTGAATTTCTGGTGACATGGTTTTGGAGAGAAGGTCGCTGCTATGGCCTTACCTTTAGACCTGCCTTCAAAGTGTGCCTTCAGGCTTTTAACAGGTCACTTGGCCACAGACATTGCCCTTGGATCTGGAAAAGAACTTCATGATGCAGAAGTGTTCTGTTCCCTGGCTGGGGAAGGCAGATATCATGTCCAGTGCTTTTCCAGACTGTAGAAAGCTGAGCCGTCCTGCTCAAGCTCTGTGTGATGGAAGCAGAATATATGGGGCTTGAAACACAGGCTGTGATTTACTTTCCCAGACCTCCCACTCCAAAGCTATGGCTGGTGCCTGGGCAGAGCTGGGGGAGGGAGCAGAGCCCTGGCCTGGTATCACCCCGCCTGGCTGTGCACTTGGATTTCCTTAGCTTTAGGCTAAGCCTGTGCTGTGCCTCTTGTGCTCATTCTCTTGTCGAGCACATCAGCCTTTTGTGTCTTCAGCATCACAGCCCAGATACAGCTTCCCTTAAATGTAAGCTGAATGTCCTGGCTCCCAGCCTTATCAAGGGCCATGTTCTTTTCTTGGGGAAAGATGGAAAATATGATCTGATCCTGACATTTGACCTGTGATTCTGGTGGAATCATTCTGGACAGATTTCTTTCTTGGCATGCGGTAGAAAGATCTGTGGTGATCCCTAGAATAAGTCAAGGTTTTGAAGCCTCTCTTCAGGCCAAAAAGGCCTGGGAGGAGGTGAGCTTGTGGTCTCTGTGTACCCGGTGACGGCTGAGGGGTGGACATGTGGTTTGCTGTTCCTTTCAAAATAACTGTTAGCTGGACTGGAATCTGAACCCACTCCCACCTCTGAAAAAAAGATAATACGTGGGTATAACACAGCCCAGTTTGGGAACTTGGGTCCCTTGAATCATAGGATGTTTTATCCTTGTGAGTTCATGTACCTTATCTTCCCAGCGAAGTAAATACTGTGGTCTCTTAAAACATACTCTTCCAGTCTATGTGCTTTTAGCACTCTTTTTCTAATTCATCTGTATTCATTCATTCAGCTCATTTTTGTGAGTACCCACTATGCATCAGACCCAGCGTTAGGGGCTGAGGGCAGAGGGATGGAGAAAACATAAGTCTGCACCTATGAGCTCCCAGCTCATATCATCAGGCAGTTACAATGCAACGTGGTCACTGCCTTGAGGTCTGCATGCCTGGTGCATGGGGTACCCAGCCACCGAGAGGTCAGTACAGCAGGACAGAAAGGATTCCTGGAGGAAGTCAGTCTAAGCAGAGTCCTGAAGGATCAGTAGCTGAAGAAGCCAGGGAAGGGCATTCCCAGCAAAGGAAAGAGCATGTCCGGAGACCTGGTGGCAGCACAGAACACGCTGCTTTGAGGGAGTGTTGAGAGGAAAAGAGAGGGCCTGGGGCAGGGCCTGAGGGCATGAGCATGAGGGAGATGATGGGACAGGAGTTCCCAAAAGAGACCAGGTAGGAGTGGCTGGATAGGCTAGAGGAGAACAGGATCTGTCAGCATCATCTGTGGTTAAGTTGTAACTGGAGGATGTCGCCAGGAAATGACCTGCTGTTGCTCTTGACAAAGGCTGGTCCTGGGGCATGGAGTGGAGAGGCTGGTTGCTGTGGACTGAGGAGTGAACGGGAAGTAAAGATGTCAATTCAGTCCAAGCATGTGTGCGTTTCTTTCAGGAAGCTTGGCTGTGCAACCAAAAGGCATGCTCCATCATGGTCATGGCAACACTGTTTGTAATAGTCAAAACCTGGAAACAACTCAAATGCTTATTTGTTTACAACAGAACATTATGCCACAATGTTGAGCAAAAGAAACCAGGCACAAAAGATTGTATGATTTCTTTCATATAAAATTATAAAACATGATAAACTACCCTGTGGTTTTACAAATCAGGATAGGGGATGCCTTCTGGGATAATAACACCCTGAAAGGGTTATAAGGAAGCCTCTGGGATGCTGGTGATGTTCTTGATCTGGGTGCTGGCTGTACAGCCAAGTTCACTTTGGAAAACTCCATTGAGCTTTATGCTTATTTGGGTACTTTTCCATGTGTGTTATACCTGAAGAGAAAGTTGGTGTTGTTTTTTTTATAGTTGACTGTGAAGGTATGGCAGAGAGCAAGACTGACAGGTGGAGGGGCCCAGGACTTTGGGGGAGGTTTTTGCTCTTGTGGAAATGTTTCTTATGGCTGAGAACGGACCACTAGAGACAGAGGAAAGGAAGAGGATGCTCAAGCAGCAGAGACCCCGAAGCTTTGGTGTGAGTTGGGGAGAGAGGAGGCCTCGAAGCACCAGGGAGGAGACGACTCTGCTAGGAAGGAAGGGGTAAGAGTGGAGTCTGGGAGGCCAGGAAGATGCAGAATCCTCTGATGGCTTCTGCCTCTTCTGTGCAGTGGGAGTCAGGGTGCTGGCTGAGGGTGAGAGGAGTCTAAAGGGGGCATGTGTGACAGTTTCTGAGAAGAGAGCCCCTCTGGGACAGAGGCTCTGAACCTCAGGGGCTGCGTTGTAGAGGGAGTAGAAGGTTGGCAGCTGGATTGGCTTGGTGCAGTTTTCAGGATGGGATCTTGGGGGAGGCCCAAGGGCTGAAGCACTTGACAGGAGAATGACTGAAGCAAGGGACACAGGAGTCAGCATGGGAGGGAAGGGCCACATGTCTGGAGTCATACGACAGAGGCTCAAAGCATGGGGGAGCTGGCTGGATCAATTCTAAGCACTGGCTGTGGGGCTGGGAGGCTGAGGGGGTGGAGGCCATTCAAATTGGGGCATCCCTTCTGTTCTAACTGAGGATGCCCATGAAAGCCCCACAGGCATCTGCAGTCATTTGGCTGAGCACGTAAATGTCCATAAGCACCAGAACTGTGGCTACTCAGAGGTAGGCTTTCTGGGGAAAATGTTCACCATGACCTGTTGGTTTTGTGCTGTTTGGTTCAAGACTTGTATGACTGTAGACACAAAATTAGGTCTTAGCACTCCTGCTGTACAGCTTTAGAATTACTTGACCTCTGTTTTTTGTGGTTTTTTTTTTTTTTTTGAGACAGACTCTCCCTTTGTCGCCCAGGCTGGAGTACAGTGGCATGATCTTGGCTCACTGCAACCTCTGTTCCCCAGTTCAAGCGATTCTCCTGCCTCAGCCTCCCAAGTAGCAGGGATTACAAGTGCCTGCCACTGCGCCCAGCTAATTTTTGTATTTTTAGTAGAGATGGGATTTCACCATGTTGGCCAGGCTGGTCTTGAACTCCTGACCTTGTGATCTGCCCACCTCGGCCTTCCAAAGTGCTGGGATTACAGGCGTGAGTCACCACGCCCAGCCTCCATAACCTCTCTTAAGCTTGTTTTCTTGGCTATTAGATGAATACATTTAACTTACTGCTTAGGGTTGTTTCAAGAAATAACTGAGTTCCCATGGATGAAATGCCCAGCATAGTGCCACATTAGTGAGTGCTGAGTACTTGACTACTATCATAGTTATTATTTCTATTCATACTGGTCCTCAAGTCTTGATTTTTGAAAAATGGGTGGCTATGGGATTGATGAAAGTAAGACTCAGACCTAAAGATGTGAGAGCCTTTATCAGGAAGATGAACACTACCTGCGTTATGAAACTTCCAGGGAATTTCAATCACTGGTAACTATTATAACCCACCTTTGACTGTTTAAAGCAGAAATAAGCAGCCAGAAGCTCCCAGCTGTGTAGCCCAGAACTGTCCCCAAACCCGTTTCCACCCCTGCAAGAGAAACCTTGAGCTCAACTTCATCCACAGCTATTCTCACTTGGAGCCAACATCCAACCAGGGCAGATCGTCATCCAGGAAAATGCCTTTCTAAATATTAGCCATGGGAGGCCTGCCTAGGAACACTGACCAAAGCCAAAATGTCATTGGCAGAATCTAAAACTTGGAGAGTTTTTCTTCAGTGGCTGGAGAGACAATTAAATACAAGAATGGTCAGCTTATGAGTGGACGATGGGAAATAGACAGTAGGTCTCATACTGCTGAGACATTGGCAGCCTAGGTAGCCAGCATCTCTTACTGACATTGCACCAGAAAAGGAGAAAACCAGGGAAAATTCTGCAATTCAATTCTGCAACCTTTCAGTCTTCCCCCAGAATTTGTTGCCAACATTCACTTCTCCTTCTTCCTTCGGGACCACATGTAGAGATGACTTAAAGAAATAATTTGGGCATGTCTGGGAATGTTTTAAAATTCTATAGGCCATTAGACATGTATAAAATGGCATTCATATCCACAAGAAAACCAACAGACATGAACTTTTCTCATCATGTTGGAGAAGGAAAGGGCTTATCTAACCAAGTGGAATTGAATAACTACTGCTGTTGTATGTGTTTTGGCTTGAACTGAATGGAGGGTTTAGAATTGTTTTTTTTTTTTTTTAATCAATGAAGACAGCTTTCTCTTGAGAGTCTTACGCCATTCACTTTGAGTTCTATCAAGGATGAACAAGTCAGCCAAACTTGCAAATCCAAAGCTCTGTAGCACGGGACTCTATTTCATAACATCTCTGATTTCATACCTAGTGTTTGGGAGAGATTCCTTAGAAACTTCCAGAACCTGAGAATCAATGGGAAGAAATTGCCAGGTGACACTTGGAATACTCTGTGGGCCCAGGTACTCTGTGGGATTTGTATATAAGGGACAACTTGGAAATTTCCTGGGTTTGAGGAAAGATGTTAGGATGAAAGAAGGATAGGCAGAGATAAAATTAGACCCTGTGGCACTTTTTCTTTTCAAAAAGAAGATATGTTGATGGTTATTGATTAGAGAAATGTAACTTTTAAAATCATGTCATAATCTTCTGTGTCCCTAGAATCACCTCTGTGATTTGCAATATGGGTAGAAGTGCCAGAGTGCAGGTTAAAAATCTCATCCACCATACATTGCAGTTAAACAGATGTGTCCGTCTCCTGAACTCAAAGATTGGGCCATGCCTGATGCTCTTATCTCTGACAAATGGGTCACCAGTAAGTTGAACAAGTAGGCCTCCTGGGATATAATTATGAGAGCAACTTTACTTTTGTCTCCATTCGTGCCTTTAAATTTGCGCTGTGGTGGTAATCTTTTTTCTGCTCCTGGATAAAAATGCAGGCATCTCTTGCTTTTTCTGGTCACTCTCAGGTAATAAAAAGCCTCATGGACATTGCAAGTCACAAACATAGTATTAATTCAGAATAACAAAAAAGGAATCAGTACACTTCACTGAGACTCCTCCCTCTCCCCAGTGAGGGCTGGCTGCAGGCTTGGTAAGGAGGGCACGGTCTTCCTCTTTTCTGTTCTCTGATGTTTCTCCTTCTCCCCCAGCTTGCTAACAGTGGTTTCTGCCCTCTCTTACCAGGTTTGCAGTGGGGTAGGAGGATAAATAAATGGAATATGAAAGTTGGAAGATGGTGTTGGGCAAACGTCTAAAACTCCCTCTGCTTGATGGCTGCCTTCATGAGCTCTCTTGATTTAGGCGGTGCCCTTCCTTGAGTTGTCTGCTGTCTGCTCCACTTCAGCTTCTGCCTGTCGTGTACACTTGATTGCTTCCGCTGATGGGCGATGGTCCTTTTGCCCTGGCAAACTGGTCTTGTGGATAAGATTTCCTGCACCCCATCATTCCTACCACTGCTCTCTGAGACTGATGTTCCTTCTGCAGACTCCATATCCAGACTCCCTGGGATTAATTTTTTTTTTTTTTTTTTTTTGACAGCCACAGTCTTAATTCACCTTTCTCATTGGGTCTCCCAGCTGCAGGGAGCACAATCAGGCTCTTCAAGTGATCCCACTAAGGGCTGAGTTAGCTTGGGTATTAGGTTGGAATTGGGAAAGAGGACCCTTCGTTCCTCCCCTTTTGATGGGCTATAGGACTCTGTGTAGCTGTCTCTAAAGAAAAATTCATTCTCTCTCTCTGTCTCTCTCTCTCTCTCTCTCTCTCTCTCTCTCTCTCTCTCTCTGTCTCCCGCTACCTTCTCATTGAGGCAAATTTTACATAGCATAATATCTACCATTTTTAAGTGAGTAATTCAAGGGCATTGAGTACAACACACTTAGTCTCTACTCAGCCCTTTTATTGCCTCATTCAGGGTGAGGGTTGCAAAGTTAACATGTTGGATTATTTGATGTTTCCTGGGTAAATTCTGAATGTAGTCTGGCCCCTCACTTGCCAGTTTTCCGGCTATTGTATCTGCTGCCTCCGTGGAAACGTCTAATTCAACATCTTTGGTTGCCTCAGTGGAAACTAACATCTTTCGTGCCTGGATTATATCTTTAGATCTTATAGAAGCCTATGAGGTGGGCGTTACTGTCCCTATCTTACAGGTAAGGAAACAGGAAAAATGACTTGCCAGTGTTACGCTGGCCATGAGTGGCAAGGCTAGGACTTGAGCCCTGTCAGATCTGTCTGGCAGGAACTTTGGGGTTGTATCCATCCCAACAGGAAATGGTAGCCACGCTGACCTTCCTTCCCAGCCTGCTGTGCCTGGGATCCCTAGCAGCCTCTGCCATCTGAGTCATCCTAGCAGTCCCTGGCTTTCTTAAGGGCCTGGAGAACCAGGTCTCACGAGCAGTAGTGAAATGTTATATAAAAATAAAGCAAGAATATCTGTGTCCCAGCTCTGCCAAGGAGCAGGCAGGAAGGGCTGCCCAGCCCTCTGGACCTCCAGCCTGGCCTGAACCTGGGGCCTTTCCAGGTGCCAAATGCAGCAGAGAAGTCCTCTGCCATCAGAGTTGGCTGCTAGACTCAGGAGACCAGCCCCACTCAAGCCCAGGGAGCAGTACAGAGCCCTTGCTGCATGTAAGGGAACTGAGGGCCGAGAACCTGTGCTCCTGAAGGGAGATGGTAAAGGATATGGTGCAGACCACAAGCAGTTGACCCCACAAACTTTGAGACACCCCATCTGTGCAGCCATGTCACCTGCCTCCTGGTCCCACACTGCTGGGAGCCTAATGGTGGGCTATGTCTATAGGATGACGGTCCTTGAAGCAGCATTCATGTGTCTAAAGGTAGCTGAAGACAAAGGCCAGAGGCTTGGGTGGGCATCCTGGGTGTCTGGGACTGCCATCTTGGACACTGTTCTCAAGAAGTGGCCCTTGAGTTTCCAACTAATTTGGCTTCTTGCTTTCTTTTTATAGGGAACCCAAAAGGTGCGATGCTCACCCATGGGAACGTGGTGGCTGATTTCTCAGGCTTTCTGAAAGTGACAGAGGTGAATAAAGTAGAATTACTGTTGCAGGTGTCTCTTGAGGACAGTCTCAAGCCTCGGAGGATTTTTTTTTATTTGTTTTTGTTTTCCTGATATAATCTGGGCTGCCAGTCACAGTCAAGAGTTTCTGTTCTCATTGGAGCGACCTCACTTTTACCATCATTTTTAACTCCTAATACGGAAATGATCCAGACTTGACAAATATCCAGTTGATTTTTGGGAGCACTAAGATCCCAGAAAGAAAAGCGTGCAAATCTATTTTTCATTTCTAACTTCAGAAATTGATATACCTATGGTTTTGTGTGTACCTTTATTTAGAAAGTAATCCTTAATAACTTATTTTTCGAATAGGTCAGGGTTTAATTCAGTCATTTTGTGTTTAAGGACTACTAGAGTCTGAGAAACAACGGCAACTGCTAATTTATAAGGCTGTACTTAAAGGTAAATCCAATATCAAAAAAGCTTTAATATCTTTTCCTGACCAAAGTGTGTTAGCATTTTATAACCGGCTAACAAAGGAGGACTTTTCCCACAAGGGGTGAGTATGTCCTGTAGTTTCCTTCAGTATAAAGGAATGCGTCTTTTCAAAAAAGTTAGGCTTTTTCTCCACTGTGGAGAAAATCACTCTCCATGTTCATGGGAGATGATATTATGGAGCGTGTGCCCCAGACACTTACATATTTTAATAGAAAACTGTGAGAGACAGTTGGTGGCTGAGCCCAGATCAGGAGCCAGGATTTTCCCAAACTGGCCCAAAAGCCATCACAGGAGCAGGAAGGCCTCTGCAAAGGGGTGGAGAGCAGGGAAGTCCAGCAGAGGAGAGCGCCTGTGGGCACAGCTCACCCAGAGCCCAAGCCTTGTGCGGGGCTCCCCTGGCTGGAGTAGCCCCTGTCCCTAGGGTCTGTGAGACAACTGTGAGATGTGGCCTGGGCCGTCCCTTTGCTGACAGGGTGCAGCAGGGCTCTGTCAGCATTCCCCTTTAAGGCCCTGGTTCCAGGGATGGCTTGTGAGCCCAGGTTCAGTCACTGTTTGGGTTTGGCCTTGTCTCCTCCTCTGGCTGCGGTTCGTACTCCGCCACAGGTGCATAGACTTAGGAGTCTCTGGGCCCCTTTCTCTGCAAGGACTAGAAAGTGCTGACTAGCCAAGCTTTTCTGAATCCCTGCCCAGGTGGCCTGGGGAGCCTGGGGAAATGGGGTGTGGGGCAGGTCCTGCAGATGTTGGGAGGCAGGGGAGAGAGCCGGGCTGGTGGGCTGGTGCCCACTGACTGCAAGTGAGAGGCAGGCCCTCCGAGAGGAGACTTCCCTGCGGAGCCCGCTCTGCTGGTTTCTGTGTGCTTCATTTGGCTCTTTGCTTCTGCAGATAACCTAGACCCACTGGCGCTGCGACCTAACACTCCGCTTCCTATGCTGCCCTGTCTCTCTGTCTCTCCTTTCTGCACCTTCGCTTCCCTCTCTCTCTCCCACTCTCCCTTACTTCTTCTCCCTTTCATCTCACCCCTCTCTCTGTCCTCACTGCCCCCATTCCCCTCCCCCTCTTCCTGTTTGCTCTCCAGGACCATTTTCTCTTTATTGTTTTATGATTCTCTTGTCGTCTTTCTGTCAGTGTTTCTTTCCTTTCTGTCTCCCATGCCCGTCACCTGCAGAAAGTGATCTTTCCGAGACAGGACGATGTGCTCATCTCCTTCCTGCCTCTGGCTCACATGTTTGAGAGAGTAATCCAGGTAAGACGCCCACCTGACTGACCGGGCCTTGCCTGGGTTCCTTCTTTTTTCTTACAGAGTCAGTGGGCTCCCACTTGTGCGGATGTGCACATTTCCTATTTGCCTTTAGCACACATGTTTGAGCGAATGGTGCAGGTAAGGCCCTGGCATCAGGGAGGCACAGTCTGTGCCTAGAACCCATAACCCTAGCAGGTGTCACTTGACACTAGTGACATGAAGTAGTACCAAACTGCCCTGTCCTCGGAAGATACCACAGGGGTCAGAGGGCTCAGAGGACCTTAGCCACCCAGCTTGTCCCTCCTGGGAGCATTGTTCCAGGGAAGCCCCTAGGCCTGCCCTGCCTTACCCATGGACACACTCAGCTGAGAGAGATCCCAGCTGATAGCATCTTCTCAGAGAGCACTGCAAGTTTGCAGAAGTGATTTACCATTCAAGCTCTGTGCAGTACAGCTCCATTTATGGCCAAAAAACTTATATTCCATAACTTTCACAATTTACAAACTCCTAAAAGAGAAAACAAAAGAGTAAAGTCAGGGAATGAAACTGGCTTGGCTCTTCAGGCTGCAGATGGGGACTGGTCTTAGGTTGGCCCTGAGACAGGCCTTGTGGAAGTACAGAGGGAGTGGGAGGAGAAATCCATATGTGATTATAGAGGCAAGGAATTCTCCATGTATGTATCACTCAAGGGACCAGCCTATGAATAAATTGTGTCTTCTAGGCCTTTCCCATTTTGCCTTGGGGAGGTCTTATATAATAGTGCAGGTAAGGCTCTAGCATCTGGAAAGCATGCTTTCTAGCTTTCTGTACCTGGATTCAATGCCAACAATTACTGTAAATTAGTTTTGTAACCCTGGGCAAGTCATGTTACCTCTCTGAGCTTTGTGTTCCTCACCTGTAGGGATACCACTTCCCTTATAGGGTTGCTATAAGCCAGAAAGAAAGGAGCATATATAAGGCCCCTTGTGTACTTCTATTCCCATTAGGAACTAGCCAAGGGCTTCCCCTTGGCCTCCCACTAAATAGCACCCACAGCCAACTTCAGCAGCATCTTCAGTATTCACAGGGTCTACACACCTTCCCAGAATTCCCTGGGGAAACCCAAGGACTCTAAGACCTGGAACAGACCCATTAATAGGCTGTAGTACATCTCAGAGACCTGAGTCCCCAGGGAGTCCCATGTCCAGGGTTTAGGAGTAGGTGAGGGGGCAGACACCAGTGAGAATGGCTGCTTTGGCATCTACCAGAGGCTCAGGATTCCATCCCTTCTCCTGGTCATCTCCCTGAGCCTGAGTGGGAGTTAGTGGGAGGTGGGGGTTGGGTCACCTCAGATTTCATCCTTCAGTGTCTCATGGCAGCAGCCAGAGCTGGGTCAGGGGGTCATGGGTGCCCTCCATGTAGAGCAGCACTTTGGACAGCTTTGGACTATAGCCAGGAGTGACCACCCTAAGGGATTCCTCCCTTCCTGTCCTCTTCTTCCAGTCTGTCGTCTATTGCCATGGAGGGCGCGTTGGCTTCTTCCAGGGAGACATCCGCCTCCTCTCAGATGACATGAAGGCTCTATGCCCCACCATCTTCCCTGTGGTGCCACGACTGCTGAACCGGATGTACGACAAGGTGAGTTCTGCAGGGAGTCTCCAGTGGGGCTGAGGGGCTCCGTATTTGCTTGTTTGGACAGGGTCTGGAGCCCCAGGCAGGCTTTTAATGCCTCTGCTGCTAGGTCCTGGAACTTGCCTCCTCTCTTGTAATTCCTGACTCTTTCTCATTCTTCCTTCTCCTGTTTTCTTCCTATTCTTCAAAAACCCCTGTGGGGGAGACCTTCATAGCATGCCTGTCAGGTAAGGCAGTGTTAACCTTCAGCTCAAGATCACACATTCAGTGACCTTCTGCAGGAGCAAAAGGGAACACGGCTTCTCTGCTGGCCAGTCTGGGCCTAATTCCTGGGGGATATGTCTAGAAGTAAGACATTCAGGCCCTGATAGCTACTTCCAACTTGTGTTCCTCAGATCTTCAGCCAGGCAAACACACCATTAAAACGCTGGCTCCTGGAGTTTGCAGCAAAGCGTAAGCAAGCCGAGGTCCGGAGTGGGATCATCAGGAATGATAGTATCTGGGATGAACTCTTCTTTAATAAGATTCAGGTAAAAAAATGAACAAGTGATTATCGATGATACCTAAGTATCCAAATGGGTGACCTTATAGGAGAACTGGAGAAATTCATCCCAGTGCCCTGTAATTGTGTGAAATAATTCATTTGCTCATGAAATCAAAGCTTAAGCTACAATTGAAGTGTTAAACTTAGACATTTTTTATTTTTGGAGATGTGTTACATTTGAGATGAGCAAGAAGAAAACGTACTCTGGATAGTAGATCCCTTGATCTCCACAGGCAACAGGGTGGCTTTGCCCTTGGGTAGTCAGGTCAGTGTGCCGCTGAGAAGCTCCTGGGCCCTACAGGTTCTCTTGCCCCTCCCTGTAATGCTGGCCATGGTGGCTTTCCAGCAGCCTGGTTCTAGCCAAATGGTTCAAAATCTTTTTCTTTCCTGGGTTCTGTTCCTTTAACGTCTCCCACAGCAGGCCAATCTTGAATTACTCATTTCTGTACCTCTACAAAAGTTTTCAAGCTCTGCATTACCCAAGGAATCTGTAGTTAATTAGTAGCATTATTCATTTTTTTCTTTAGTTATGAAAATTAATATTTAAAATATCTTGGCTCAACTTACATAAACAAAGTATTTCAAGTATTCTTTGTCCTTAGCAGTACATAGTAAATAAAGCATGGTATTGATTTATACATGAAAAAAGGCAATGCCATTATAATGGAAATAGGAATAAGTTATCGTAGGTAATTGTTTTGGATTCTTGTCAATCAATGATGGGAGGATGAGGGAGCAGCTGTGTGTTTTAAGGAAGGGAAAAGAACCAATATTATAGAATGCCATCCAGACTAATGGTACTTACCTCGAAAGGCATAAAAGAATTGGTCATATGGTGGATAGAGTTGCAGAGCTAATGATTGCGTTTATCATTAGGAAGGGGAAGGAATTTCCTCAGGCCGTGTGTTATATAGCCTCAGGCCTTCTTTCTGATCCCAGCCCTAACATCCAAGTAGGACCCAATTGTTGGATGTTGACCTTGGATGAGGCCCGGGTGGGCTGGACACCATCTCAGACATCACAAACTTCAACAGCTCTTCTCTCTTCCCACAGGCCAGTCTTGGTGGGTGTGTGCGGATGATTGTTACTGGAGCAGCCCCAGCATCACCAACAGTTCTGGGATTTCTCCGGGCAGCTCTAGGGTGCCAGGTATTGTCATTGTGTGTCCTTCCTTAGGAACAGCAGGACATACATTAGGGCAGGAAAACTACCATACCCTCTACTGTTCAGAGAAAGAGCCTGGGGGCAAGATTTTTGTGAGACAAAACTCCTTCCTCTGAGGAGGAAAAAACTTAGAGTCAGTGAACGTCAGGATGGCATTACCACATTCTGGAAAGCCCAGGTTTATCCACTCTGGGAAATTCTTTTATCTGGACCTTTGAAAGTTTTTCTCAAAGGGCAAAGGGATCAGACAAACCACAGACAGATCATCAATGTGCTAGAGAATGTATACCACACCTATACTGCATCCCTGCCTTCTCCAGCCTGCAAAATATCTCGCAACCCAGAAAAGGAGAACAAGGGAGAAAGCCCATTTAAGTGATATTTGATCCAATATATTTTGTCATCTGTCAACATTTATTTCTTTATTTTCCATTCAACTCGTATTTATTAAGTTCCTACATAGTAGGGTATTATAACATGGTTGTGGCTGACTGATTTTAAGTAAAGTAGACCCATCTTTTTCATAATTGTGCATGCTTCAATTTTTCTGCTTTAGAAGCCTTAAGCTTTATTCACTGCACTCGTATTCCACACCAGCATGGCCTGACCCCTTGTAAAGGCAGACACTCTTATGTGGTGTATTCATGCAAACAGGTGGGGTTCTGGAGGGGAATAGCTTATGGAGCCAAAATAAAACATAGAGTAGATTTTAAGATGTTTATTTTGTATTATCTAGATGAAAACTAGATCCAGTGGTTGAAAATAGGGCAGAAATCTTTACCCTAAACTATATAACCTCATCTACTAAGTGTCTGTGATAAAAGTAGCACTTCTTCCAAGCGAATGTGGCTGTGCTTATTGTGTGTGTTCAGCTTCACCTGGAGTTGTCTACCTCCAGAGCATTTCCTTCCCTCCACCATCCTGATCACGAAGCAGTCAGATGCTCATTGGGAGGTTAGCTGGCTGAAAGGGTGGCTAGTCAGCTCTTGGAAGGTGTGTGCCCACAGTGTGACTTCTGTGTTTTGCTTGAAGGTTTATGAAGGTTATGGCCAAACTGAGTGCACAGCTGGATGTACCTTCACCACGCCTGGGGACTGGACCTCAGGTAGGATGGGCTATGGGATATGGGACTGGCTCACAAGCCACTGTGGAGCAAAAGCAGCTCACTCTAAAACTCCCTCATGGAAAGGAAATTAGCATGGGTACTTAGGAAAAAAGCAAAGGAAATAGAAGATAAACATTAATGGTGGTTATGTCTGTGTTGTGGTGTTGTGACTCTGTAAACATGGTTGAGGTTTTTCCCTTTTTTATTCATCCTTAGCATACTGGAAGAATCTGGTCTAAATTTGGTAAGTAATCCATGGGCTACCCACTACAGGCCTGCTTCCCATTGGCTCTGAAGGATGCATCGCCTCAAAATGAGGATGTGGATGAGAGCTGTTCCTTTTTGAGATTGCCACTGCCTTCGAGACATTGATATCACAGGAGAACGTAGTTCCTGAAGGGCTTCTAAAATGCCCCTTTAAGAAACAGTACCCTGGCTACTAAGAACCTGCCTCTCCTTTATATGTCATGTCTAATTCATAGCTTGCTTCCTTCATTCTAAAGTGACTGTAAGCAAGGCCATGTAGTATTGAGAATCTATAAAGATCCAATAACCTGATATAAACATTTTTCCACCTGGAGTTGTATTTTGTGATCTGTTACTTCTTTTGTGCATAACTTCTATTTATCTATAAAAAGAAATAGGACAATACTAAAACCTGTGACAAAGAAAACAACGATCTCCAAAGGTGGCTCCTGTAGGAGATCTGCCAGCAGCAAAGTGATTAAATAATTTATTTATAAAATAGGTTTTATTCAACTACAGTTTTAAAAGACAGGACTAAGGAAAAAATGCTTCTATACTTGGCTTGGCCAAATGTGATTTCATTTATTTCGATTTAAAATCCATCTGTCATGTTTCTGCTGACTATCTCAAGGTACTCTGAAAATAATATTGCATTAAACAGCATATTTCTTTCATGTGCACATCATCCTAAAATTTTCCAGTTTGCAGTTGAGCAAACTTAAGCACAAAATTAGCCCTAGGCTTGGAGAAGTCAGTATCCTGAAGGATTCTTTGGTTAGTGGTTTTCAGCAAAACGGGAAACAGGTCTGTAGTAGGAGCCCATAGATGACCCACTAGTTTTAGACCAGATTCTTCCGGTATCCACCCTCAGGTGTTCCTTCCTTCTGGACATGTAACTGTTCCCCCTCACGTCATCCTTTACATTTTCCTGTGTAAACACTGCTGAGGTTTTAACCTTTTTCAGTTTATCCTTAGCACAAAACTTGAAAAGGTTTTTGTGTATGAGGATAGATATCTTTGTATATTATTGTCAAGGATTTGACAGCATCTCTTTTAAAAGAGAAACCAAGGTGGTAAGCCTCATTTTTCATGTGGCTCATTTTTCTTTCAGGACCTTGGCTAGCATCTGCTTAAAAAGCCTCCAACTTGCTAGTGAATTATCTAACAACCACAATGACTAGAAAATGACTTATATGTAATTTTGTGGTAAATTTGACCAAGAGAATTTGGAGTCTTATTTTCATGGGCCACGTTTCTTCATCCCAGCTTTCCATTCCTTTGTTATTCAAAGTGTAGTATGGGACCAGAAGCAGCATCACCTTGGTGGCTCTAAGAAATGTCGAATCTCGATTCCAAACCCACTGAATCAGAATCCACAGCTTAAGATTTCTAGATTTCCAGCATGTTAATCAACAGTCTGGTGGCTAGAGAAAAAGCAGTGATTGCTATATTTTATGATCCCCAAACCAAGACATGTGATCTGACAGTGGGGAAAATGATTTAACATGGACACTACTGTCAAAAATCTTGACCCTATTGTTGGTGCCACCCTACCCCACCCAGGATCCTGTGCACGTTGGTGCTGGGCCAAGTGTGCCTGTCCTGCTCATTAAAAATCAGGTGTAAAACAAATGCCCAGGCAGAGGTTGGCCTTTGCTTTCTCCAGAACTTTGTTTTATTACCAACATTTGCTAGTAACAATTGCCCCTTTTAAGGTATGTTGCTTTCCACCCATAATTCCCCACTTTGACCACTCAGAGGTTTTAAGGAGCTTGGAACATCTTCCGTGCTAAAACAGATCTGAACACTAACAAATACCATCTTGCTCCGGTGTTCCAGGGCATGTAGGGGCGCCACTTCCCTGCAATCACATCAAGCTCGCTGATGTTGAGGAACTGAACTATTGGGCCTGCAAAGGAGAGGGAGAGGTAAACAAGGATTTAGCCATTCATGTCTGTGGCTGCTGCATGTAGTGAGTAGAAACAAACAAGAACAGTAGGGATGGAATGATGAATTTCCTTTTGCCTTGTGTGTAAAGTCATTTTAAAGTACTGATTAATTTGACTCATCTCGACTCAGCATTTCTTCTCCTGTTTATAAGGCAACCAATAGCCAGTGGTCTAAATCAAGATTTGGATTTCCCAGACTTTTAAATTAATTAATTAATTTTTTAATAGAGACAAGGCCTTGCTCTGCCACCCAGGCTGGAGTGCAGTGGCGTGATCATAGTCCAGTGTAATCTCAAACTCCTGGGCTCAAGTAATTCTCCTGCTTCAGCCTCTCAAGTAGTGAGGCCCACAGGCATATATCACCATGCCCACATAAGTTTTTATTTTTTTGTAGAGACTGGGTCTTGCTATGTTGCCCCGGCTGGTCTCAAACTCCTGGCCTTAAGCAATCCTTCCTGCCTTGGTCTCCCAGAGCACTGGGATTACAGGTGTTAGCCATCATGCCCAGCCCCAAACTATTGTAAAAATTCATTTGTTACCCCAGCTGTGTTATGGCCTGCTGCTGTGTGAACTGTCCCAGCAGAAACTTGACTCTTTACAAATAGGCCAGATGGAGTAGATAGAGCTGGTCTGTACTTGTTCATTCCATGGGAGTGAGTGGGAATGACTGCCTGCTAATGGTGCAGGGGACTGAAGCATCCCTGGTAGAATCAGCCAGCCATCAATATCTGTGATGAGTCCCCATTAAGTGTCACAGAGCAGCATGTGGCCAAGGCCAAAGAGCTCCTGAGGGAGAAGAGATGACAAAGGTCTAGGGTGGCCATGGCAGTGGGGGAAAGAAGGGGAGGATGTTGCTTGACAGGAGACAGTTCAGATGGCTGCTGGCTGCTCCTCGTCCTCTGTTTCCATCCCTGCCATAACCACAGTGGCTTTCCTGATGGATAGCGTACCTTTTTCTCCATATGCCTGGTGACAGCCTCCCATCTCCTCATTCCTTATGCTGTGGCTGAGAGAAGCCATGTTTTTTGCCTACAGATATGTGTGAGAGGACCAAATGTGTTCAAAGGCTACTTGAAAGATCCAGAGAGGACAAAGGAGGCCCTGGACAGTGACGGCTGGCTTCACACTGGAGACATCGGGAAATGGCTGCCGGTGTGTACGTTTGGAACCATGGAGCTCCAAACATTTTGGTGGTGCGGGAGGGTATGTGGTCCAGGTCACTGAGGCAGGAGTCTTCTCCAAATACCCCTGACAATGAGCCATTCAGGAGCACCTCTGGAGGCTCTTCCTTCCTTGACCCCCAGAGCTTCTTCCTCTTCCCTCTCCAGCTCATGAAGGTGATGAAGGACCTGTGCAGGTGGGTGTGGCTGAGGAGACTGAATTCCTATCCTTAATGGTTCCAGAAAGATACCCAACAGTGTACGGAATCTGATGTGAAGTAGGAGGAACACGGGATACATGTATCTAGGACTGAAAAGGGCAGGGCCTATGAGCCCACCAATGCTGGCCCTCAGCCAAAAGGTGGCACTGAATGAAGGGGAAAGCTTGAAGCCAGGTGGGAGGATGCCTTAGTTCCTGTGGCTTTGCCAGCAGTTGCTAATGTAACCTTGAGCAGAGCCTCATCCCCCTCTGTGGCTTCACTCTGGCTCACTTACAGAACAGGCGAACAAGCCTTCATGGCATTCCTTGGCCATGGGCCCCAGTTTTTAGCCAAAACCACTCTGCCTCATTCTCTCATTTTTAAAATGGGGATCATAACATTCCTTACCTCTGAAGTTACTGTTGTGTTGTGAGGATCTGGACTTTATCCTTTATTACTTATTTATTTATGAAATGGAGTCTTGTTCTGTCACCCAGACTGGGGTGCAGTGATGAGATCTTGGCTCACTGCAACCTTCACCTCCTGGGTTCAAGCGACTCTCCTGCCTCAGCCTCCCTAGTAGCTGGGACTACAGATGTACACCATCACATCTGGCTAACTTTTTTGTATTTTTGTAGAGACAGGGTTTCAACATGTTGGGCAGGCCGGTTTTTGAACCCCTGACCTCAAGTGATCTGCCCTTCTTGGCCTCCCAAAGTGCTGGGATTACGGGTATGAGCCACTGCACCTGGCCTGGCTTTTATCCCTTAAAAATGTTTGTTAAAAAAGAAGAAAAATAAAGTTATTTTTTTGAAGAACAAATGAGATTATGCTTGTGAAGAACTTAGCACAATGCCTGGCACATAGGAGATGCTTAGATGAATACTTTGACCAGAAAACAGCTGTCACTGACAGTAACAACCCTTGCCTGGTGGAGCCCACCCCAAGAGCCTCTCCTGTGTCTTTGGGAAGTGCTAAGGTTTGAGTGGACATTTTGAGGTGTGGAGTTTATCAAGCACATGAATGATGTTGAGCCCAGTGGGGGCTGAGTGGGCTAGTGAGTGGATCTGCTCCTGCCTGGGCCTGTGTACTTCCCTTTGAGAACCCCTTATCCCTGCCCCAGGCAAAGATGTATCTCTAGTGAGTGCCCTGGCCCAGGGACTCTGCTTAGGGAAGATATGCATGATTAGACAGTTCCCAACCCAATGTGATGGCCATGAGCTGGGGACACACTCACCTGGGGAGAGGCAGAGGGGGACAGGCAGCTACTGGATCCAAGTTGTAGGATATGAGTCATGTTCTAAGAGTAGGGAGTGGGAAGGATAGTCAGGGCAGGGTAGTAACATGTGCTGAATAGAAGCACTAGATGTGCAAGGTAGCAAATTCCAACTGAAGGCTCATAGGTATGGGAGAGAGAGGCTAGAGAGGTCAGCAGGCCCTGAACACCTACAGAGGGTGGATTGTCCCGTTGGCTCAGGAAGCTCAGGCTTCAGGCCCCCTCCCTTGCATCAGCCCATTCCAAGGTCCTGCACTTCATTTTACGTGATTCTTAAAGAGGGCCCTCAATATTGTAAAAGCTTGAAGGCTCACAAATCCCTGGATCTGCTGTTGATGCTCTGTAACTTGAGTGAAATCATCCACCATTCAGGGGGTAATGTGACGCAAATAAATTGATTCATGTAGAGCACTTAGTGTTGTGCTTGAGCACACAGCCTAAGGTTCCAGGCAGGTAGTCTGTGAGAGTTCATTTTTTACATTATTATTTTAAAATGATTTTTGAAATTTAATTAAAACTTACTGCAGCTATTGAGATACTTATTTTTTCTATACTTCTCATGTAAAGCAAATCATGCATTCTTGACATAATTCAACTTAGCCATGATGTGACTTTTTAAATAATATTTTGTCTAAAAATTGTGTCTGAGCTTTCCATTTATGCCCACAAATAAGATTGATCTGTAATTTTTTCCTTTTTTTTTTTTTTTTTTGAGCTGGAATCTTGCCCTGTCACTCAAGCTGGAGTGACTACAGTGGCATGATCTCGGCTTACTGCAACATCCACCTCCCGGGTTCAAGCAATTCTCCTGACTCAGCCTTCTGAGTAGCTGGGACTGCAGGTGCCCACCACCATGCCTGGCCAGTTTTTATATTTTTAGTAGTGATGGGGTTTTACCATATTGGCCATGGTAATCTCGAACTCCCTACTTGGTGATCCACCCACCTCGGCCTCCCAACGTGAATTTTCTTATTACATACAACATATTATTGTTTTGTTGTCAGCTTATTGAATGAGTTGGTAAGTGGGTTTTTCCCTCTGTTTTCTGGAAGAGTGTGTGCAAGGTTTGAAGAATTCATTCTTGAAACTTAGGTAGAAATCGTCTATAAAGACATTTGTGCTTTAGAAAATATTATTTTGTCAAGAGATCAAGACCATCTTGGCCAACATGGTGAAACCCCATCTCTACTAAAAATACAAAATTAGCTGGGCATGGTGGTGCACTGCATGCCTGTAGTCCCAGCTACTCGGGAGGCTGAGGCAGTAGAATTACTTGAACCCAGGAAGCAGAGGTTGCAGTGAGCCAAAACTGTGCCACTGCACTCCAGCCTGGCAACAGAGTGAGACACCAACTCAAAAATATATATATTTTTTGAAATCATATTAAATAGATCAAGGAGTAAGGATGGTCTTCTGTTCCAGAAGGTCCGTGGTTGAAATCCTGGTTCCCCTATCTGCTAGCTATGTGGCTTTAAAGGATTTAATTAACCTTTCTCATCCTCATTTTCCTCAGCTGGATTACAACACCCAGCTAATGGATCATGAGGACCAAAGAAGCTGGGGTAGGGAAACTGCCTGATGTCCAGCCTGGGTTTTAAGCACAACAGAGCCTGCTCATTTTTCTCTTCTGGAGAGATTGCTCTGGCACTGGCAGATGGAGTGGGGATAGAGTGTGTTCAGAAGACCAGTCAGGAAGTGTTTTTGTTGGGAGGAGGTGGTGGATATGAGATGGATTTGTGAACAAGGACGGGTGAGCCTGACTGCTGGAGATCCCAGGAGACGCAAACAGCAACGTCATCTTCAGGTTTGGGGTTTGGATGCTGGGGCAAGCTTGTGAAGATTGGTCATGAGCTTCATTTACGAGCATGTTACATCCTCTGAGACAAATCAGCCTTGTTTTTTGAAGCATTCCAAGGGTATTTGGGTTCTGGATCTGGAGCTCAGTGAAGAGCTGGAAGCTTGGACTGACTTGAGAGTGACCAATGAAGAGAAAACAGTGGTTACCCCAAGGTGCATTGTCAGTGGGGGTGAGGAAATTGTAACATTCAAAGGTTAAGCCTGTCCGAGGAGGTAACCTGCCTGCTGCAGAGATCCTGCAGGGGCCTGGGCTCCTAGTGCCATCTGTCATGGCAGGTGGGAGGCACAGGGGCTCTGCCAGGTCTGTGCTATATGCCAGAGGATACAGAAGCTGCTCTTTAGAGGTTGAGGAAGTAGCTGGGCAAGAGACCTGAGAGTGGTCTAATGGAGTGAACCAAAGATGCTAGTGAGATAAAGGGCAACTGGAGCAAGGGTGTGTGTGCAAGGGGTGCCGTGATGGAAGGGCGGTGGGCCTCCAAGAAGGAGGAGGGGAGGACACCTGCTGCTAGGTCTGAGGGTGGCAGTGGTGGGAGGTGATGTGTTGGGGGCTAACTGCTGAGGGGAAAGGACAGTGGATGCTCATGGCCCAGCAGAGCTTGTATGTCATCAAGCTTCAGTGCACAGCAGTTCTCTCCAGGGGCCCTGCAGCTCCCTAAAAGCAGACACGATAGAAGGAAAAGAAATTGGGGTGGGGTCTGCAGGGTGGGGTAGGGCAGGGGTGAGGGATTATGGCACTGAGGAGTAAAGTCTTCAAGTTTGAGAGTGCCATGTTTTTATAAAGCTGTTTGTCCAACTCTGCAGGCAGGAACTCTTAAAATTATTGATCGGAAAAAGCACATATTTAAACTTGCTCAGGGAGAATATGTTGCACCCGAGAAGATTGAGAACATCTACATCCGGAGCCAACCTGTAGCGCAAATCTATGTCCATGGGGACAGCTTAAAGGTGAGGCCCCCGGGCTTCAGCCCTCCCACACATCCTGGGCATGCTGAAAAATCCAGATTAAACATTAACCTCCAATCGGATACCAGATTCTCCTCTGCATTTTAAAACCTGAGAGAAAACTCCTTTTTAAAGGAGAATCTTAATTACTTACAGTGTGTTAAAATGAAATTAGGTCAAGTAAGTTGCCTAAAGTAGTACTAATGAACATTCCCACTCCTTTTCACTTACGCTTCACCTATTTCCAAGGATTTTTGAGATAAAGTACTAGAGCAAGATTCAGAGTTTCTACTGTTTTTATTTTTGTTTTTAAAAAAATCATTATTACTGTTATTATTATTGAGACAGGATTTTGCTCTTTCACCCAGGCCGGAGTGCAGTGTCACAGTCATGGCTCACTGTAGCCTCAACCTCCCTTCTGGGCTCTAGCCATCTTCCTACCTAAGGCCCTTCACCCTCCCTCCCCATCCCCAATAGCTGGGACTATAGGCGCACACCACCATCCCCAACTAATTTTTTTTTGTGTGTATTTTTAGTAGAGACAGGGTTTCGCTATGTTGGCCAGGCTGGTCTTGAACTCCTGACCTCAAGTGATCCACCTGCCTCGGCCTCCCAAAGTGCTGGGATTACAGGTGTGAGCCACCATGCCCAGCCTGATGTTAAATATATTCTGTACTGTCATTGCATTTCTATAATTAAATATTATGAAATTTTTTTTAAGGAATGCTTTAAAAATTAAAATAGGCCTGGCATGGTGGTTCATGTCTGTAATCCCAATACTTTGGGAGACTGAAGCAGGAGGATTGCTTGAGCCCAGAAGTTTGAGACCAGCCTGGGTAACATGCCAAAACCCTATCTCTACAAAAAATACAAAAATTAGCAACATGTGGTGGCATGCCCCTGTAGTCCCAGCTACTTGGGAGGCTGAGGTGGGAGGATTGCTTGACCCCAGGAGGTGGAGGCTGCACTGAGCCATGATCACACCACTGAACTCCTGCCTAGGCAACAGAGTGAAACCTTGCCTCGAAATAAAAAATAATTAAAATGAAGTCTTTCATGAATGAAGATCGTATTAATGAAACCATTTCAAAGTAGCCAGGTAATCTTGAGAAGCATTTGGTTTTTGGTTCACAGAATTTGGATCAGAGAGTTGTTTGATCAGCATCCTAAAGATGTGCTGATTTGAGATTGGCATGAGAATCAACGGTGCATATCAATCTAACTTTACTGATTCTTAGAGTCCTTAAACTTACTATTTTTATATAAAACTAGAGGAATATATCAGAAAATGAACATGTGATATATTGGCAGAAATGTTTTATGATGTGAGCAAATGTTTTATAAGCATATACTTAGTTTTTGAAAAAGGTGGAGTCTGAGAATTTTAATGCTGGACCACAAATAACCACTTTAAAAGCATTTGTCATCACTGTGTTCTCTTTTGGTGAGCACTGCAGGCCTTTTTGGTAGGCATTGTTGTGCCTGACCCTGAAGTTATGCCCTCCTGGGCACAGAAGAGAGGAATTGAAGGAACATATGCAGATCTCTGCACAAGTAAGGTTGGTATCTTGGGGCTGCCTCCTGAAAAATTACTGAATGTTTTGTGATACCACGTAATGAGAAAATAGAAAAGCTGTAGACCAGTGAAATTTGAACTCGTACAGAATTTCTAACATTACTTTATACATGGTGGGGATCGATCCTAAACCAGAGATTTGTCTTTTTTTGTTACTGAAGAAACTCATATTTCTTGACAAACATTTGGATTTTAAGCCAGGAGGCATTACAGAAAGCTTATCCAGCTCTGTTACTTTGTAGCTTAGAGGAGAGTCCAGGGAGGGTGGTAACTTACCCAAGGTCACAAAGCTGGTTAGCAGCAAAGTCAGATGTGAGCATAGGCTTTCTCACTCACCTGCCGTGCTCCCTCACATATAAGGTGGATTTTGTCTCTATTGGGCATAGACAGCTAGTCATGGAATGGAAAAAGCAGCACAATTCTTCCTGCTTAGAGCATTAGCTAGTCACACCTTCCTGAACCCTTCTAATGGCACATATAGAACTCTGAGGAGGAGGTCACCATGCTCCGACTCAATGTAACTTCTTGAATCACATGGTCCATTTCTTAGCAGCAGCCATAGACCCTCCCTCTCCCACTGTGCCCTGGGCCTTGTACTCACCTGGGCGTAGCAAGACTCACCAGGCTCACCAATAAGGCTGCTTAAAAAAAAGTGGTCCCTTAGCCTGTTCACGGTCACTCCCTTGGCCATTACAGGTACTTAGTTGCCTGATGAGATGCAGTAATAGGAGTGCTGCCAGGGAGTATCAGCCTCAGTTGTTAGCACATGTTGTGGGTTAGCACATGTTGGCGCAATCACCAGTTGCACTTCAAAGTTGTTTCCTCGTTTTGAAATGTGTTCTTGACTTGTAATTTTTCTCATATGGTTTGATTCAGGATCTGAAGAAAGCCATTTTGGAAGATATGGTGAGGTTAGGAAAAGAAAGTGGACTCCATTCTTTTGAGCAGGTAACGGTTACCTTCCCCATACTCATTACAGCCCTTTAGGGAGTGATGAAAATTAAATTAACCCATGGTGACCCTGACCTAGATTGTTGACTTTTCATGGTGTGGCCTGCCAGCAGGCTGTGTGCCAATAGACCCCGAAGACCTGTTTCAAGCTGCCTCCTGAACCAAAATAGGTCACATGTCAGAAGAGATTGCACTCATTCTTATAATTACAGACTTTCATAAGGCTGAAATAATACCCTAGCTGCAACTAGTAGATCATGTGTACATGATCTGTCTTCTAAGCTGCCTGCATTACCGAAGATGACAGTCACACCTTATTTTTATTTTTATGGAGACTGTCTTCTTGGCTTTAGCAGACAAGCTTGCTTGTTAGGAAGACATTGGAAAGATTATTCTCTTCGGGCCAGTGACCTGTCAGCCCAGCATGACCTCTGTAAAGAGGAAGAAACAGAATGCTTTGGGAGAGGACACAGCAGTCCTCTAAGACTTCTTTCTGTGAGGTTGGGTTCTTACTGTAACTGGGTTCATAAGCTTACTTAGTCTGACTTACATCTACCATCCATATATCCTCTTTTGTCAAAAATTCAAAGAGAAAAATGGTTCAAATGGAAAAATATTAATAATATACTGATTTTTTAAAATGTCCTTATATTTAAAATAATTATTTTTTATAAAATAAGCATTTCATTAAAATAATTGTTTTCATACAAGTTTGTTTCCCCAAATTTAGTGGTGAGGTTCTGCAAGTTTGATGAGAATCTTAAAATTTTGTATGTTCACTTGATAACCTAAAAACATTGAAAAGCATTTTAAAATATAAAACTCTTACAGTGCTTTAATTAGCAATAAAAGTATTTTCGTTGATTACAATTTTAATTTTTTGGTTTCAAACTAAGGAAATCTAAGCATAGTTTCAGGGACTAAAAATATTGTTTATCTTTTTAAATAGATCTTTACATTAATCCATTTTGAGAAACACTGCTTTACCCTCATCTGTCAGTATGTTTTAGAGTAATTTAGGCCTAGCTAGGTAAATAGATATTTTTTAAAAGTATAAAATCTGAGGCATTCAGGTAAGTTACATTTATCTTTCTAAATGAAAAAGGTCAATTTTGGCATATTAATTATTTAAATTTCCAAGTATGCTAGAACTGACTTCATTGCCCTTCCTCAGTGGGGAGTTGAGCAATGGGATCCTCTGTGATCGTGTAGACCAGGCGCCACAAATGAATGGTCGTAGGCCTGGTTGGTCTGGGCCAATGTGGTGATTTGAAGCTCTGGCTGGCTGCTGCCTACTGGGGACAGGCTTGCCTAAGCTGCTCAGTTCCTGCGGACATCCTGGTGCGTTCACAAGGCCTGCACGCCCCCTGCTGGTGTTTGCATGTGGGACCTGCCCCAGGGCACACAGAGCGTCGTGACACCCAGATTCCTCTTCATGGAAAAAATATACCCACTCTTAAGATTATGCTTAAAAGGGACCTTTGGTTAAGTTTCCAGTGTTAACCATTGCTCTGGTTAGAGATTTCACTGAGAGGAGACATGTTCTTGACTTTCCACATGCCTTTAGCAGAGTTTCTGCTCTAATAATCTGCCCTCACCATGGTAACCTCAAATACAGGGAAGTCATGTGGCATCTCAGAGGCCTTTAGTTTTATTGCCAAGGCTGTTGCCTTTTGATTTTCTCTGTTCCCATTCTCTTCCTTGTTGGTCTGTGGCATCCTTCCCACCACAGCCAGTGTGTGCCCTCAGCTGACCACAGGAAAGCAAAAACTAAACCTCATGCCTGAGGAGGGTGTGCTCTCAGTTGTGATCCACAGCTCAACATAAATTATTTCAGTTAATCCATAATGCATTGTCAGCTTGTCCTTTTCCGTCTTCCTCAAAAATGAATGGCCAATTAAGTAGGCATAACTCTAATTAAACACACACACATACACACACATGCACAAATAGATATTCAAGTTCAGTATTCAGAGTTTAAGTCATTCAACAAAAGTTTTAGTTCAGACTTACTGGACTTGGTTGATCTGAATTAAACTTTGATTTAGAAAAACAATTGATATAATTTATTTTCCAAGAACAGACAATTCCTAGAACTATGCCAATCATTATTAATTTATGGAGATCTTCAGAAGATGTATTTTAATGAGTAGATAGGTAGCTGGGAAGTATTTGAGCATTCTTAACCATGATTTAATGATTTGCTTGACATTTATATCCCTTATTAATTTGCATAGGCAGTACAATATGAACTTTGACACTTGATAGATTTTTCGATTTCTGACTAATTAAGCCCTTACTAAAAATATTTTATTGGCGGGGTGTGGTGGCTCATGCCTGTAATCCCAGCACTTTGGAAGGCCGAGGCAGATGGATCACAAGGTGAGGAGTTCAAGACCAAGCCTGGCCAATATGGTGAAACCCTGTCTCTACTAAAAATACAAAAATTAGCCGAGTAGAGCCTATAAGCCCAGCTACTTGGGAGGCTGAAGCAAGAGAATCATCGAACCTGGGTGAGAGGGTGGACAAAGTTTGCAGTGAGCCAAGATCAAGCCACTGCACTCCAGAGTGAGACTCCGTCTCAAAAAGCAAATTATTGTATTTCCTGTCATTGTAATGATTACCTAACCAACTTGTCTTTAAATCAGAAATGAACTGAGCATTCCCTAACTCATTTAAACGTTTTTTTACTTTATCTCTCCTGTCCTAAATTACTCACTCTGTGTTTATTACCTATAAGCAATATTGTCTTAAAGGATTTCATTAAGACAATTGAAAAACTTAAAATACTATGTTTCTCTAAAATTATGAAAAGTTTGTGCTTTTATAAGTTGGCATGAGTGGACAATTTTGAAATATTTTATTCCAGTGCCATATTTAAATATTACATTATTTCTAAATTATTTTTTAAAACCTGTAGAATCTCTTTTCAGTGAAAAGAGTATAGTTTCAGAAAGGGAAGCTAACATTAGGCATCTTCTTTCTTTTCCTAACAAAAACTTTGTGAATTAAAAAATGGAAATTCTAGTTTGATAAAGTATTTGGCATAAGGAGAGAATAAGGACTCTCATACCTTTTTTACAAGTTCACAATTGGACGGTTTGGCTTTATGAGAAAATAGTTATTATAAAAAATGAACATGTGCTTTATCATTGATTTACCTCTGAAAAAAACTTACAGATTTGTGACCCACAGTTAAAGTCAGTGTCAGTTAAACAACTGATTGATTCATTTTTTTCCACTTACTGACTGTACTTCCTAGTCACTCAGGCAGGTTACATAGGTATTTTTACAGAAGGATTTAAATAGTCCAAGGGACGTAGGACAGGCCAGAGCAGGGGCTGGCAGCCTGGCAGCAGTGCCGCTCTGACCTGCTCACTAAGGCACTGAAAGGTGAGCCCAGAGCAGGCTGCTATATTGCTTGGCCTTCTGCAAGGCTGTCTTTTTTTCTTTCTTTCTTTCTTTTTTTTTTTTTTTTTTTTTTTTTTTTTTTTTTTTCGGAAACAGGAGAGGCAGGGGAGGCAGGTGAGGGGAGCCAGCAGCCCTTCAACATTGAGGTGCCAAGAGTTTGACATTTACACAATCTCTGGTCCTGTCGATACCACAGCAGACTTTGGTTTTTGCATTTTTTTTTCCCTAAAGGGTTTATTTATTTATTTATTTTTTAAAAGAAAGAAAGAAAAAAGAAAGAGAGAAAGAAAGAAGAAAAAAGAATGAAGGCAAGGAAGAAAGAGAGAACGGGAACGTTGCTTTATTGCCCAGGCTAGAATGCAGTCTAAAAATGGTTATTGAAAACCTCTTTTATGCCAATAATTGTGCTTAATAATGGAGACAGGAAAAAATGAGGGAAGAAAATAACAAGCAAGCAGCCAACCAATATTTCATTTAAACCTGTGAGTAGGTGTGATGTGGTACTGATGAGAGTGTATATTTTGTGTATGTGAAGTGGAGAGTTCTATAAATGTTTATTAAGTTTACTTGTTCCGGATGTGAGTTCAAGTCCTCGATATCCTTGTTGATTTTCTTTCTTGTTGATCTGTCTAATATTGATGTTGAAGTCTCCCACTATTATTGTGTGGGAGTCTAAGTCTCTTTATAAGTCTTATGTATCTGGGTGTTCCTGCGTTGGGTGCGTATATATTTAGGATCATTAGCTCTTCTTGTTGCATTGATCCTTTTACCATTATGTAATGTCCTTCTTTGCCTCTTTTGATCTTTGTTGCTTTAAAGTCTATTTTATCAGAGGCAAGAATTGCAACTCCTTTTTATTTATTTATTTTTGCCCTCCATTTGGTTGGTAAATCTTTCTCCCTCCCTTTGTTTTTGATGATACAGCCTCTTCTCACTCAGAATTATTTTGTAGACAGCCACATGGAGCTAAAGATGTCCCACTCAGCTATTTAGGTTTGAGCAGGTAGCTTGCCTGACAGATATTCCAAATCTACCTGTTGATGCAGTTCTTCCTTCCTAAGATAATAATGTGTTCTTTTACATTTCTACTTAACCATATAAATCACATTCTATATCTCTCCTTATGAAATGTATATTTCCAGTACTGTATTTTTTTAGTAGCTTCTGCTTGTCACTGCTGGCTTTTCAAAGATATTCACCCCAAGTTCCTATACTGAACATAGTCTCTTGTCCCAATTACACAAGGTTCTCCTACATCTGTAATTCCTGTATGTTGTTAGGAATGCAGACAAGCTGAAACTCAGGCTGCAAGAGCACTGTAGAAATTATATCTTGGCATTTGTATCTCCTTTTAAAAAAGGATAGTATTAATTTTAACAACAAAAGAAGGTGGATAGATGGTTTGCACTTACCAGAAGTACTTATATGATTGTGCTTCTATCAAAAGAGAAATTTTTTTTGAAAAGGATATTAGCACTGTCCATTTTTCAGTTGTTTTATTTTGACAGTAAAGGTTAGTTACTACTGCATTAAATCTTTGCATCTGAGGTTAAATTTGATTTTGATTGTATTAATGTTTTCTTTAAACTAATTAATTTTGTCATCAAATAGTGATTTCCAAACTTCAGTAGAACTTAAATAACATCTTGTATAAAAATTGAGCATGCACAAAACATAAGAGCAGTGCTACTCAGGTTGGTTTAAGGCTTGAATGACAGCTTCTCCATACACGTGCTTTCTCTTAAGCACCTCACCTCATCCCTCCTCATTGTCCCACCCTTCTCAGTCTCCTTTCTACCCTTATCTATCTGAACCCCATTTCCATACCAACCCCAGCAGTGGCCTCTGCAGATCTCCTAGTTCTCAGTGCACTATGGTTTAAAAACATCTCCCTTGGGACCTGTTTCCAATAAATATTGGATCTCCAAGGACGGTTTATATTTGGTAACAACAAATTAGGAAAAAAGTATATTCTATAGGGTACAAATAACAGCAGCCCTATTCCTTCCTAAATCCTATGCTTCTTTAGAGAGTTTTCAAACAAAACCCTTTTTACAAGAACCATATCTGATTTTGAAACACTTGATTGTTGATGATACCCATCTTTAGCCAAGATTTCCAGCTATTTAAGATGATACCTATCTTTAACCACAGATTATGCCATAAAGATGATGCCCATCTTTAGCCAAGATTTACAGCTATTTAAATTGCATATCCAAGTAGAAATCCTTTCAATAAGTAAGATAAAGGTTTTTCAAACTTGAACTCATTTTTATTTTACTTGAACTCATCATGTCCTCCTGAGACTTTGTATTCCTCTATGAATGGCACTACCACCTTTATGCAGCCATCCAAACCAGAAACCCAGGAGTCCTTGGGACTGCCTGCCTCTCTCCTACATTTTGCCAGTTTATCTCTGAATCATTATTAGAGCTGCTTACTTGTCTCTGTCTGTGCCACTGCCCTGAGTGTAGGTTTTTATCTTCATTCCAATGAATTGGCCAGATTCTTCTGATTAGTTGCTGTATTAGTCCAGTCTCACACTGCTGTAAAGAACTTACCAAGACTGAGAAAATTATAAAGGAAAGAAATTTAATTGACTCCAGATCCACGTGGCTGGGGAGGCCTCAGGAAACTTACAGTCATGGCCAAAGGGGAAGCAGGCACCTTCTTCACAAAGCTGCAGGAGAGAGTGGGGTGAGCCAAGGGGGAGGATCCTCTTATAAAACCATCAGATCTTATGAGAATTCACTCACTATCAAAAGAACACCATTGGGGAAACCGTCCCCATAATCCAATCACTTCCCACCAGGTCTCTCCCCAAACACCTGGGGATTACAGTTGAAGATGAGATTTGAGTGGAGACAAAAAGCCTGACCATATCATTTGACCTGCTCCCAATTTTAAATATTTCAGAAACAATCTGCCCATTTCTCTTGGAGAGATCTTTCAAAAATGTGTATTCAGCCATGCCATTACCCTAACTAAAAACCTTCAGTATTTTACTATTGTCTTTGGAGTAAAGTTTGAGCTCCTTCATAAACTGGCTTGTCTACCACTTCAGCTTCATCCCTCACACTCATTGCCTCTTGTTTTATGTAACAAGAAACCACTTAGAGTTCCCTTTTCACACTGTCATTTCTCACTCCCATAGCTTTGTTTTTGGGGTTGCCTCTGCCTGCAATGCCCTTCTCCACCCACTTCACCCCCTTTGATGATTAACTATAACCCATTATTTAACATTCACCTGATTTCAGAAGTCTTCTCTGACTGCCTCTCCCTCTCCCCTCCGATGCCTGAGATGGATGCCCTTTGTCCTGTGCATACCATACTGATAATTGCCCAATGTTTCTCTGTCTCTACTACTGGATGTGAATGTGCACTCCCAAAGGAAAGAGGCATTCAGGATTTCTCTTTGTATCCTCAATGCCTGGCATAGAGTAAGCAAGTAATTTATTTCTGTTGACTGGCTAAATGAATGAATAGGAAGGGAAAAAAGGTGGCTTTTAGATACGTAAAATGGGCTGAAATGTTCTCAATGTAATTTTGACTTAGCATAATGTCTCTATGTTATTATATCTACTCTCATGTGCCTCTTTGCTTTTTACCATGTATACAATAAATACTGTGTTCTATGTCTGTTAAATGTTTGACATTTAATAAATGAGCTATTCTGCATTTGGTTTTTAGGTTAAAGCCATTCACATCCATTCTGACATGTTCTCTGTTCAAAATGGCTTGCTGACACCAACACTAAAGGCTAAAAGACCTGAGCTGAGAGAGTACTTCAAAAAACAAATAGAAGAGCTTTACTCAATCTCCATGTGAAGTTCAAGGAAAGTTCTTCTCCGTATAATGGACTGTGTAGCAATATTATAGTTATTCTTGAAAGTAATGAGTCAAAATGACACAGGTGAAAAATGAATAAGCATCTGATTTTATGACTGAGCCTTTTCTTGTCCCAAGAGGTCTTTAACAATATTTTCTCTATCATCACTGAGTACACTTTATTTTTATTATTAAAATGATATTGTAGCAGGCTGCTAAAAATATCGCAAATGGCAATGTAAAAATCAAGACATTTTCTCAAGAACTGTGTACCACTAAAAGTAATATATTCTCAGTGTTCGCAGAACTCCTATTAAACATAAAGGAAAAACATAACTGCTATATTGTACTTAATTATTTGTGAAATAGTAACCAGATGCAGCAAATATCTAGGCAATGTGGACTACCTCATTCAATAACTGATTGTCAAAATTACAATTAAATCAGACTTCAAAAATTAAAGCTAGGTGTACAGAATCATGCTAAAACAAAACATAATAACTCATAGTCTATGTAACTTCAGATTCTTTAAACAGGACAATCCATATTGTCATATGTGAAGAAGTTTTCTCTCGGATTTTTACTTTTATTCATGAAAAATACAAATTCAGAAATTCTTTTTGTTCTTTTTTTTTTTTTTTTTTTTTTGAGACAGGGTCTGTTCTGTCACGTAGGCTGGAGTGCAGAGGCTCAATCATGGCTCATTGCAGTCTCCATCTCCTGGGCTCAAGCGATCCTCCTGTTTCTGCCTCCCAAGTAGTTGAGACTAGAGGCACACACCACCACATCTGGCTAATTGAAAACTTTTTCTTTTTAGAGATGAGGTTTCACTATGTTGCTCAGGCTGGTCTCAAACTCCCAAGCTCAAGGGATAATCCTGCCTTGGCCTCCCTAAGTGCTAGGATTACAGGCATGAGCTACTGCACTCAGCCAAATTTAGATATTTAAAAAATGTGTGAAATATTTAACTTACAAAGACCTTTCAATACATTTTTCTTATTTATTAAGCTCATTAAAGTATTCAAGAACTACCTAAAAAATATATAATGTAAAAATATTCAAGGATGGTATGCATATGCTCTTATCATAATGAATTCTAAAAGTCATCTGTTGACTCTACAGTGAATGGATCCTTGAGGAAGACTTGAGAGAAGAAACTCAGAGTTATTTCTCAGGGTGGGCAGCAATTAATGTACCTATATTCCTTGCTGGGGTCTTCTAGCCTTCCATTCCCAACATGCCCATGCTATGCCTGGAAACCCTATATGACTGTAATTCTGAACAACTTAACTTTTTTCCAGTAAGAATACCAAGGCAGAAGGTGGGAAGGTGGCGACATTATCTCCAGGGAAAATAGTTTTTCAACAATATAACTTTGATAAACCTCTTTAAAGTGCCCCAAGAAAACTTTTTAAGTCCATAGACAAATATCTCCTAATGGCATAATACCATGCCTAAAATCTTTAAACATGCCCAAGTTTAACCACTAAAACCTCCTTTCCTGCATTATATATTTAGACACACCCTGTATAGGGGTGTCAACAATTTTATATAATTAAACTCCAAATATGATGGATAGCAATTAAGTTCTAAGCTATAGATTGTACATCTGAAAAAGGCATGGTCTCCAGGAAGGTGTTTTTCTTTTATAGAGTCAGGACTCTGAAAGCATATGAACAATCCACATACAATTCATGTGTTAATTTAAAATATATGAGCTCAGTGTTTGTAGTCTAGCAGCTCCTTTCCCTTGGAGGAATGCCAAGCAGTTTACAAATAAATCCTGTTAGTTAAAAACCATATAATCACATGGGCCTATTGGATAAATATGCACCAGTGATTATATACTTATATTTCAGTCTTATCAAAAGTGAATCACAGTTTCATTTGATGTTTATCTAGTCTTTTTAAATATTCTTTGGGCATATTCTCTCTGAAGACCCACTGTTGTACATATAAATTTGACATTTAATAAATGAGCTAGTTCTATGCACACTGATTTTTAAAGGCACTTCTGAATAAACTAATACTTAAAATGTCCAAGGTAACATCTGTATAGCATTAGATTTTTATATTTAATATATATTTGACTAATTAAAAGTGAAAATTGTTACCTGAACTGGATATTCATACTATTTTAAGGGAAAGTTCCTTACATTTCAATAACAAAGAAAGAAGCTGTTACCATTGTCCTCCTATTCAACTAAAATTTCATAGTTGGCTTTAGTTCCAAAAGAATTTTGAATAATGTGACATAAACAAGTAATTTAAAACTTATTTTGTTTTATTTATACTTTATAATAGATATGATTGATTATGGACAACTTAAGATTTCTTCTTTTTGCCACTTAAAAGATGTTATATTGCTAGAGTTCCAGATCTATGTGGAAATCATTACACTTGGGCCAATAAATGGGTTAGTTCAGATGTGCTCAGAAAAGTAAATAGTGGACCCTAAATATATTGCATGTACATTTATCTATTTCTCTGTTTAATGCCACTTAATTTTGTAACAAATGAGAAATGAAACCCTATGTATCAATGGAAAAATCTTTCTTGCTTCAGATTTCCCAACTTTATTCTGGAGGAGAAAAAATTTTGTATTTCTCATGAACAAAGATAGAAAAAGGTCATGTACTTATCATGGTCACATTCATTTTGGGCATTGGATCCTATTTAAGCCAGAAGTATAACAGAGAATCAGTTCCTTAAGTGTAAATATGTTCTTGAATGTCTGGCCTTTTTATCGTTGTTAAAATGTGTTAGTAATTCTCATATTTTGCAAATAGGTCCTTTGTGTATATTATAAAATATATACCAAATCTGTTTTTCCTTTTGCTGTGGAAGATGTCTTTATATAATAGTGAGACCTCCCTTGCAAATGGGAGCGGAGACTGGTCAGGTGTAGTAGGTAGGCCTAGCCCCATGTATTAGGAACTCAAAAAGTCAGAAATCCGCATTTACTCAAGTTATGATTTCATTCTAAATTTAGTTAAAACTACAAGTGTGAAAAAAATAGAACTTTCCATTGGAATATTTTACAATCAGGTAATGTCTTAAGCAACTTCAAATCAGCATTTAAGTTGATTTTATTACCTGTTGAAGAACCAATAACCTTTTCTTTTTCTGCAGTAAAGAAAATGAAGTATCCTTTATTTTCCACATGTATGAAGCACAAATGTGATATAGTTACTTAAAATATAAAATACTTTAAAATGAATGTAAAGAATGGGAAAATATATTTTTGCATGAAAACAGACTGCTAACAAACATGCTTAATATTTCAGGAAAAAAAAGAATGAATAATCTTATATAAAATTGGTAAACTATAAATTTCTTTGCCAGTTATAATTTTAAGGAAGCATTTACATGAAAAGAAAAAAGTACCCTAGTAGTCTGAATTTTCTCTCAAGTATGCTAGAAAATCCTTTCTGTGAATCTGCAATTAGCTGCAGTAAGAAGTGGCTTAGCATTCAAGCAAGGTCAATACCCCAAATGAGAAACTCTTCAGTTAGAACACATTAATGGCTGTAACACAGAGGCAGTAGTTAAATATTTTAAATGAGCATTTCTAACTTGGTCCCAATGGAAAGGGTTTCATGTGGTGACAGTGGCTTTTAAACATTCATTTGAGTGATTATTCTAATTTTCCTTGGTAAATCATTGCAACAGTTGCATGAGGGAAAATAGATATTTTTTGAAGAATTGCTTATTCTACTTTCAATTTTTAAAAATTGAGGGGATTAAAATATTACTTTTTAAATATGCATAAAAGTATCTTAACTGTAATTATATTTTCAGTTGCTTTGTTATAGCATGCATATCAAATATAAAATGCATTTATGAAAATTTTTGTAAAAAATAAAAGATTTTTCATTTATCAAAGTTGTTTATAATTACTATTTTATATATTTACATAACATAATCCCCTCATGTGAGTATATTTGGTAATTATCAATCACAGTTAGTGCTTATGGTAAACATAGTATCAAGCTACCTTACCAATAAGTATACTTTACATCCATACTCTGTGTCCTCTGCTAAAGTTCCACAAACTCCAAGAACTTATGGTGCATCCAGAGAGGAGCTCCTTTGCCCAGGCCTCTGTTGAAACTTTTGCTATTGTCAGATATCTCCTGGATTTAAATCATTTTTATGAATACATAACAAATAATTATCTTCAAATTTTCCGTCATCATGGCCTTTAAAATACCATTTCCATGTCTTTTACTGATATTCAGAATAATGGATACAATTTCTTAAAATGATGAATTCTGCTGTGTCCAAGATATGCAGATTCTGCCTTGTCCATATTTTTGCTATCATCCATTCCTCCCTATTGTCACAGCTATTACTGTAGTTTGTGCCACCCTTATCTCTTGTCTGGAATATTGCAATGCTTTCTTAACTAGTCTTCATGTTTCCACCCCAGCATCTTCAGATTTCACCACCCATATTTCAGCCAGGGCAATCTTTCTAAATTGAAAATCTAGTCATGCCATTTTCCTGCTTAATAGTCCTTCAGTGACTTCCCACGGTTGCCAGGATAAAGGTCAAACTCCCTGGTTCAGTACTCAATAACTAGCCCCTCCTTCCTCCATGGAGCCTCAGCTCCAATCATACCAATTACTTTTTATAGTTCCCTAAAAGCATCATATTTTCCTGTGCCGACATGCCTTTGCGCATAACAGTCCATTTCTCCTAGAATGTCCTTTCCTCTAATTTCCCTGTCTAACTCCTACCAGTCATCTTTTAAAACTCAGATTTCAGCATCCTTTTCTCTGAGAAGCTTCTCACGTGGTTGATTGGTTGAGGGTCCCTTTGCCCCATCCCCATTTAGACTGAGTTGCTTGAAGTTTTAGGCCCAGTGCAGCTCTGGCTCATAGTATATGCTAAAGAAATACCTATTGAAGGAAAATCCCCTTGGTCTTTTTCATAAGTTGCATAGCATTAAAACTGTAATACTTGAAGGTAAATTTCCTCTATCACTGTAATTTATTCCATTCTTATCATCCAAGCAAAAATAAACACCACAAAGATGCTCAGTGGGTTACTCCATAAGAAAACACCATTCAAAAACATTTCCTTTGGGCTCCAGGGAATCCCAAACCCACAAACTGGCTGTTTTCCCAAAAGATATGTTAAGAAATCTCTTTGACATTTGTTTTCCCATGGAAGTTAATATCTCCATGACCATTTTAAACCTAGTCACATCCACCATGTGTTGAACTGACATGCTGATTACTGAGTTCTGGGTCTAGGTGTGGAAGCAGTGCAATGGGGTAATAGAAGAAGTTTAACACTCATGACTGAACACTTGTATTGGTGTTTGTGTA